TCTGACTGCAACGACAACGCTCTACCCGGTAGTTCAAGTACAATTACAGGCAAATGAATCCTTGGACTCCTTCTCTGTGCTTCCAAACGCGATGACATAATAAACAAGTCCTGCCCTTCCCTCTCCTGTGCTCACGTCAGGTACCTGTTGCATCACCTGGAAAGTGGTCTTCAGAATCTAGGAAAGCACCTAGACATAATTCAGCCGGGCTGTTTTCTTGATACATTTTAGCCTCACGTATTTGAATGAGGTTGCCTTGGAGGCAAGGGGGTGGTGGCTGCTGTGCGCCCTGGAGGAGAGACGCTGGCACGGACCTCGACGGGTGGGACTCTCTGGACAAGGGGCTTGTTGCGAGTTCCGGGGACTTGGGCACCACCAGAGACGTGTGGTTCCGCAGAAGCAGGGCAGCGCGGGAGCGGGCAGCGCGGGCAACCGACGGGGGGAAGCGGGCAGCCCGGGGGTCCCCGTGGTGGCCGTGGAACTGAGACCCGCGACGGAAGCTCTGCGGAAAGGACAGTGCTCGTCCGCCAGGGCGTAGGGCCCAGGGCCGGGTCCGAGCCCAGCTGGGGGCTCGGGGGAGATTGCAGTGGACCCGAGCCCTGGCCGAAGCCCTCGGGCGGACTGGGCAGCACTACCCGGCTGGAGGATTAGAAGATAATAATACTCCCCTCCCCCCCACCCCGGGGAACTCAGCCGGAGGCGGCGAGGAGAGGCAGGAAGCGATGGGGCCGGGGTCCGAGCCCAGGCGGCGAGGGGACGCCGGCGCCGGGCCGGGGCCGCCAGGGGCCGCACTCACCATGTCGTACACGTTGAGCACCACTAACTGGTTAGCCCCCATCCTCCCCGCGACCGCCGCCTCGTCCTCCAGCCGCTCCGTCTCCGCGGGGCCGAGGCCGCTCCCGCCCCCGCGGGCGCCTCAGGGGGCCAGAGCCGGGCACTAAGCGCACAGCCCGGCCCGCGGCAGCCGGCGCACGACCATCGGGAAGCCGGGTCGCCCCCGGGCGCCGCCGACAGGACCCTCAGCGCCGACGGGGCCGACCGCTGGCGGGCCCGCTCGGGCTCAGGCACCTCCCCTAGGCGGTAGACACGTGGGGGGAGGCGGGGCCTGGGTGAGAGGCGGGCGCCGGGAGCCCCGGGGGCGGAGCCATCCCGGCGCCCGAGCGGAGCCCGCCTGCGCTCTGGCTCTCCCCGGCCGCACCTCAGGACCTAAAATGGCGCCGCCTCCGCGTCTCTCCACCTGGGAGGAGCGGGGTTCCAGGGAAACTCTAGTTCCCGGCATGCCGCGCGGGTCGCGACCCTCTCGGGCCAGGGCTTCCCGGGAGACTACAGTTCCCAGCAGGCAGTGCTTGGGATCTGCGCCAGTTTCCCTGCGGTCTGCCCTTGGCTCCGGCTAAAGGCTATGGTCTTCGACCCGTCTTTACTGGTGCTGCTGCTAGTTTCTGTGACCTTGAGCCCGATGAAGCCAACGAGATGTTGCCGAAGACCATAATAATGACCTGTTATCCAAATTTCTTCTCACTTTTCTTTTTGCAAGGGTCGGGGGCGAAGAAATAGAGGAAGGTGGGTTACTGGTGGTGGGTGGGGTGTAACAGGCACCCAGTTAAACCTCAAGATGGAATTTTACATTTTAAGAAACTGTCCTGCTGAGATGGGAAAAGAGTACAGTACTCACAGATTAGCACAGCCCTAGCACACACAGTTGGTGCTTTTGCACGCATTCAACAAATATTTGTGTGTCTCTTATGCTCCAGGCAGTGTTGTAGGCCCCGGGGAACACATTAATAACAGGAGGGAGGACAAAACATTGGCGCTGTGTGCTTTGCAGAGCACAGAATAGGATGAACTGATGGAGAGTAATCTTAGAGCGGCGGCAGCATAAAGGTCTCTTGACAAGGTGAGGTTTAAGCCGAGAACTGAATGGCAAAAAGCCAGCCTTACAAATATCAGGGGACAAGTATTCCATTGAAAGGAAACCTCAGAGCTAATTGATTCAGCTAATTAGGAAGCCACTCCACAAGTGTACACCAAAAGGTAGCTTAGATACTGAGGGTAGTGGGAGACACAAAATTAGAGATCTTTGGACTATTTTGTAATTAGAGTCTAGAAGATTTGCTAATGGGTTGAGTGTTGAGTTTGTTAGGGGGAGAGAACATTCAAGGATAACTTCTAGATTTGCAGCTTGGGAAGTTGTGAGGATGGTGGTGCCATTTGTAGGATGGGAAAACTGGGAAGAACAGGTTGGAAGGTGGGAAGTGAAGAGTTATGGTTTGGTCATGTTAAGTTGAAGGCACCTTTTAAATGTTGACATCAAGTAGGCATTTGGATAAACTGCAAGCCATGGGATGAATTGGATTATCGAGGAAAAAGTGTAGATGAAGCAAAAAAGAGAGAGAAAATGAAAGTGGAAAGACAGGGGTTTGTGCTGTCACTACCAGAACCAGTAAGTAGAGACAAGCAAGGACTTAATCTTTTGGGGCACTTTCTTCAGATGGCCAGCCATCTGAGAAAGCGGTGGGTTGTGTACCCTAAAGCCTGTCTTATACCTCATCTCAAGCCGACCTTTTTTATAAGGAGAAGAGGGTATGTAAGGGACTTGGAATTCAGGAAGAAAGTAGGTAAGGGGTTTGGAATTCAAGGAAAAGGTTAATCAGATGAAAGTTGCCGTCTGGCAATTTCCTGGCGTTCTTTTATCAGCTGACTGGTGATTGAGGATCTGCATCCTGTTCTGCAGATGTTCCCTCCCTGGAGTACAATGGCTCAGAAACCGTCCCCATCACTTATGCCAAGGTTGAATTCCTTGCGGGTCTTGTGGAGTCAGGGTAGATCTGGTCATAAATTCCAGATCCTGGAACAAGAGCTTTCTACATGCATTAATCACTAAGCCTATTAACTATAACTAAAGCTACAACTTTCTAACTCTTGAGTTCCCCCATCAAAAGGGACCAAAGATAAAGCTCTTGTCCCCTTCATTTAGAGGTCAAGTGGAGGAGGAAGAGGGACCATGTGGCAGGAGAACATGGTTACACAGTAGCCACAGGACTATCAGACTCAGCAGAAATAGGGTGGTTACTGGTAGCCTTGACCTATGCAATCTCAGGGCAGGAGTGGAATCCAAAAAACATGGAAATGGTTTGGGGAGTGAAATGTAAGGGGAAAAAATGGAGACTATGACAGCTTAGGGCAATGATGGGATAGGCCTGTGTGGTCAGTGGAGGGCATTTTAAAAATGATAGTATTAAGGTATATGTGTAAAGAGAAAAATTGGCAGGGGCGGGGGAGAAATTGGTGATGTAAGAAAGACAGTGAGATTCCCAAGGGCAAGGTACGAAGGGGAAGAGGTCCACCCAGTGTACAAGTGGAGGGATTGGCCTTTAGTAGGAAGGATGCTTTGTCCATAGTGACAGCATATAAGGTTGATGCAGGTGCATAGTGATGGCATAACAGATGCAGAGAGAAATGAAAGCAGGTTAGAAATTTGGGGGTAGGGGAACGAGGGTGTTCTTTTCTGATTTGGTTTGATTTTCTCAATGAATGAGAGACAGCAGGGTCATTGGAAAGTCAGAGAGGGTAGAGGAGGAGTGGAAGGGATTTGGAGAGAGAAGAAGGGGTGAAGCTGGGAAAACTCTGCCGAGTGACAGTGAGTGCCGCGTGCCTGACTGTTAATTGTCCTCAGACAGGTTGGGACAACGTTTTAAAGTTTATTTTTGCTGTACCCTGCTCTGTTTCCTGTCCCCACGGTGGCCTTCCTTTCTCCCCGACACAACTGCACAAACGACAGGTGTGGGGGAAGTCACCGTTTATCAACACTCCGCTTAGTTCCAGCTACACTGCTTGGCTCAACCCCCTGGCCCACTTTGCCTCCCACTCTACAGTCGTCCTTTGCCCTTTCTGGTCTCACCACCCTCTCCACTGAAACTGCCGATGTACGCCGCAGAGTCTGATCTGATGCCTGCATCTCCAACTCCCTTCTCTCCCGACCACTAGGCCAGGATAACCTGCAGCCTATTGGACTTCTCTGCCAGATGGATTAGTTTCTTGTTGCTGCTGTAACAAATGACCACGAACTTAGTGGTTTCAAAACTGTAAAAGACAAGTTATCATGCAGTTCTGGAAGTCAGAAGTCCAGAGTGGGTCTCCTTAGGCCCACAAATCAAGGACTGTGTTCCTTCTGGAGGCCCCAGGCCCGAAACTCCTCCCTGTCCAGTTCTAGAGGCTGCCCTCATTCCTGGGCTCATGGCCGCACGGCCCCGACCTCAGTTTCCATCATCACGTCTTCTCTGCTCTCTGCCTCCCTTTTGAGCAGAAGGACCCTTGTGATTACACTGGGCCCACCTGGGTAATCCAGGGTGATGCCCTCTTAAGGTCCTTAACTAATCACTTCCGCACAGTCTTTTTTCCCACATGGGACAAAATAAAGTAATATATTCACAGGGTCAGGGAATTGGATGCGGACATCTCTGAGGAGCTGATGGCCTGCCCACCACCCAGATGTCCCGTGGACACTTCACGTTCATCAGGTACAAAACTGAATTTACTGTCTGATGATGCAATAAATCGTATCACTTATATAATTTAGGTATTGACCTGACAATAACTGAAATGATTCATCATGCATTCATTGGGCAAGTACTAAATGATACCTTTTATGTATCAGTCACTGCGTATCACTAGTATCTCATGATAAAACAGACATGACTCCTGCCCTTGTGAAGCTTACAATCCAATGGGAGACAGGAAAAAAAAAAGTATGTATTTATTCATTAGTTTATCATTTAAATAGAAGGAGGCAAGGGGGAGTTGAACACAACAGGGGGGCTTCTCTGGGGTGATCGTCGGGAGACAGAAACCACACTAGTGAAGTTGACAAAGAAAATTTAATATAAAGAATTGTAACTTGGGTATAAAAGCCCTAAAAAGACAAAGAGGGAACACTAAGACATCACAGTACCTATCTACTCTTACATTTGAATATCCCTGGTAAACCAACTTTCATTGTTTTCCTAACTATTCTTTTGTTTTCTTCGCATTTTGTACTGTGGTTCAAAAAGATATTGTTTATAAATCCTCATATAATGGAAGTAGCTCAAAACCAGAATACTGAAGAACAGCAGCATCAGGAAGAAGAGGAAAGAAGCAACCAGGTAGCCGCTTGGACTGAAATTTAAAGACAAAAAATGGTCATTAGAAATTATTGTTCACTTTGGTTGTTGTTAATTTATGTAGTCAAACGCCTTCCGAATGGCTAGCTATGATTTCACTGACAGAGAACAAAGATGAATAAGACATCCTGTCTAACCTCAAAATGTTTACCGTTCAGTGTTTGAGGCTGACCAGGCAGGAAAATAGACAGTGTGATCAATATAATGAGTGAAGTTGCTGCAAAAAGGCTACACAGGTTTCCCAAAGTTCCTTAGAAACAACACATGGCTTATGTCATTTGCAGATTATTCGCACCATTAACCTCCATTAGCACAACAAATTGAGGAGGTAGTAATATTTAAAGTAGGGCCATAAATAATGGTTTGTCTTACATGTTTGGTTACCATGTCACAAGGCAAAAACAAACAAAAAAAACCCCACAACCCCCCCCCCCCGCCCCCCAGGCCCAGAACAGCGAAGCAAAGTCATTTTTGGCCCCAACTTTAAGATCCAGTTAAAACTTTATCTGCTCTCCAAAGAAACTGGTGTGCCCTGCGGGGAAATGCTTTTCCAGTCAGTCTTCTGGAAGTCTCGGGACCATGGCGGCTGGTCTGGGGCTGACTCAGGGTCAGTGCGGGTGCAGCCACTGTCCCCTCCAGTCCCACTGCCCCAGTCTCCCGTCCGCTGCCCGGGTGGAGTTGAAAGACATGTTTCCTGGGAAGCTGCTGAGTGTGTCGGGGGTGCGGGGGGGGGTGGGGATGAAAAAGGACCCTGGCTGCAGCCACAGTTCTCAGGAATTCCCTCCCGATGTGTCCTTGGTACGACAGATACATACAATTTTAGGACATCACATACAGGGCGGAGATAGTAGGGGCCCAGGAAAATGGGAGAGGGGCTTTTCCTCCTTAGCTGCTACCCATGTCTTTTACAGCCTCCATCTTTAAAGCTGATGAGGCACAGTTATTATTACCTGGGAATCACGCCGTAGACCTCGATTGCGAATATAGCTGTGAGGTTACAGAAACTGCAAATTAGAAAAATAATATTAAAGATTAAATTAAGTGCAATATAATAAGGCCGCCTCCGCATCCCTATGGTGATATTAAATCATATATAATCTTAGTGAAGGTGTCATTTTCTTGACAAGGGAGAGAACAGATCCATTTACCCAACAGTGGTGATGACTTTTCCGTACGTGTGACTTAGGCTGCAGGCTACACATTTCCGAGCGCTGGCCACTGCAACCTCACTGCGCCCCTAGCAGCTTTACACCAGGTTGATGATGGTTCCCAAGACAACAGCAATAAGGATGTGAATAATAATTAGCCATCATACGTGTTGACAAAAATAATACACAGGTGACATTTTTGGCCATTAATATTACTGAAAATAATACTAACTGAACACCTGCTGTATACCAGGCAGTGTACCAACTGCTCCTTCTTTCAGACGAGGGGATGGAGACGTAAGTAGCACAGCTGGGATTAAAGTTCAGGGTTGTCTGGTTGAAGGGTGTGTGATGGTCACCTGATGTAGGCCGGCTCCTCCAGGAAGTGAAGACTGCTAGCAAGTCTATGTATGAAGCTACTGTTATTTCTTCAGTGACTGAGTGTTTCTTACAATTTGGCATATTGCTTGGCATGAGGCAGGATACAGCTAAACAAACATTAATGATAGGATTTCACCTCCCTTCATGTGGGGGGAAGAGAAAAGAAGGAGCTTCATTTTTTTGAGTATTTGCCAGATACCCAGCTAAGTTAGGGATTTTTACCCAGGTACTTCATTTCATCCTCAGAGTACTATAAAATAGGTGTTATTGACTCATTTTATAAAACAAATAAGCTCAAAGAGACAAAGCAATTTGCTTAAGACTGCATGGCTACTTGTGGCAAAATGAAGTTCAAAGCAAAGTAGACTTTCTAACACAGTGCCCTCAAGGTCCGTCCATATCGTTGAATTGGAAAGATTTTCTTCTTTTTTATGGCTGATATATGCGTGTATATATATCTCGCATCTTGTTTATACATTCATCCACCGACGGACACTTGGGCTGCTTCCATGTCTCGGCTACTGTAAGCAGTGCTGCGATAAGCATGGGGTGCAGGCACCTTCTGAGATAGCGTTTTGTGGGGCTCTTCTGTTAATGGTGACCCCGGACACTGTGACGTTTCCTGGGAAGCCCACCTTGTTGGTGTCTGTCATGCTTGTGAGAGGACATGGCCCTTTTTTAAAGACTATTTTTTTTATTCGTCCTTTGGAGGCCTGAGCTGAGTCCGGCAGCGCGCACCAAGCAGCCCCCAGCCCCTGGCATTGACTGCTCCAGCGTCCAGTGCTGACCGCACCCGTTCCAGCTCCCTTCTGAGTCGCTTTAATGGTGTTAATCATCCAAATTCTCCCTTTCTCTCTTCTCGTAGGGGCTTTACTTACTCCTGATGAAGATTGAGCCGTGCAGTTTTTGATGACTCTCACTACCGGCAGGAGCCTCCTGAAGCTGTTGACGGGTTTGGCTGGTGCCAGGTTTTCCCTGCGAAGGAAGCTGTTCGTTATCAGTCGTTCTGGTCATCTTGAGTAATTCCTGGCACCCAGAGAAGTCCTTACACTTCACACCGCCAGGGGGCGCCGCCGTGTCGAACCGGCATCTTTAGTCTTCCCAGTAGAAATTTTCTTCCCTCCTGACTTAGTGGTGTCAGCGTGTCTTGGTTGTGATCATTTATGGGACCTTGCAGAGTGAAGTAGAAATTTTATTCCACCTCATCATTATTCCTTTAAACAAACTCTCTGTGGAATTGTTCTTTCCTGCCCCAGGATAAAATATTGGGCAGAATATATCCAGGTAATAAAGAAGCTAGTCCAAATACTTACACAGCTTCAGTCTCCCAAAACATTAAGGATCTTTCCTTCCCCACACTTGGGCCTGAATCATGCTTAAGAGGTAGTGTTGAGGAGAAGGGCATCGTTATTCGTTATCTTTTCTTCACTAAACTTCTAGTTGCTAGCTGCTGTTTCAAGAATCTTCCAGAGCTGGGCACATGTAGGAGGAGAAGATCAAAGTTTTATGTAGCTCATCCCTGGCTGCTGTGGCTCAGTGGGTTGAGCACTGGCCTGTGAACTAAAGGGTCGCTGGTTCAGTTCTTGTTCAGGGCACATGCCTGGGTTGCAGGCCAGGTCCCCAGTGGGGGGTGTGCTAGAAGTGACCACACATTGATATTTCTCTCCCTCTCTTTCTTCTTCCCTTCCCCTCTCTCTAAAAATAAATAAATAAAATCTTTAAAAAATTGTGTTTTATGTGGCTGAGACTTCATGTATTGGACACCCACACATTAGCTTTTTCTCTCAAAGGGAGAGAGCATTCCAACATCCAGCACACAGGATGGGTTCTTCATACACTCCCATTTAAGAGAAATTTTTCTTTCTTTCTTTCTTTCTTTCTTTCTTTCTTTCTTTCTTTCTTTCTTTCTTTCTTTCGTTCTTTCTTTCTATTATCTATCTATCTGTCTCTGAGAGAGACAGAACTATTGATTTGTTATTCCACTTATTTATGCATTCATTGGTTGTTTCTTGTGTGTGCAGTGACTGAAGATCCAACCCACAACCTTGGCCTATCAGGACGGCATTCTCACCAACCGAGCTACCCAGCCGGGGCCCATCTGCTCCCACCTTGTCTCTGGGAAGTTTCTCCTGATATTCCAGAACTTAGGTGGTACCTTCTCTGTCTCACCATTTACCACCCACCCACAGCCCCTACCTTCCCAGGGTCTTCCCTGCACATTTTCTCTCTTTGGAGTCAGCTTACTGCTGAGGTGAGCGGGGGTGGTCCCTTTCCTGATGAACAAGTTTGGTTTCCTTTTGTGGGGTCCATGTACGTACCCAAAGTCCACATGTGCCCCCCCACCATGGGTGAAAGCCCCATTTCCATCCAGTAGCTCACTCTCCGGCCTTCCTCCTGCCAGTGCTCCTGTGGGTAGCTTCTCACCTTCACACAATTTAGAAGCTCATTAAGAAAAGCCTTTGTTCCAAATTTAAAGGACACATGGACAAAAACTAGGGGGAGGGTGGTAATGGGAGGGAAGTGGGGAGGGATGGGTGGGTGGGTTGGAATGGAGTAAAAGGGAGAAAATTGTACTTGAACAATGATTACAATAAAAAAAAAAGAAAGGAAAAAAAAAACCCAAAAAGCCTTTGTCCCCACGGCCCCACGCCACACCGAGAGGCCCATGTTAGCTTCCCTGCATGGGTCTCGGAAGCTCTTCTGTTCTCTCTTTATGTGAGTCAGTCAACTTACGTGTGTTCATGGAATGACTAGAGAGGAGACCCCCATTTGTATTTCCAGCTCTTTAGAAGAAGCCACTCCCCCCAACACAAGGCCCAGATTAGACTTTTTAACGGTCTGTAGGACATCTTCACTCAGATATTGCATTGTCCCCTCAGATGTAAAGTCAGGACTATTAACTTAATACTTCCCCCCAAGAAAAACCACCTCCTTAGCTATTTTGGTCAAAGAAAAGACCATGATTTTTAAATCACCGAGTCTAGAAAACTAAAAACTATATCAATTCCTTGTTTTCTTTCATTTGCCACATTCGATCAATAGAATCCCTCATCGTGGACATATGTTTATTAGACCTTTTCCTTTCTAGTCTTACTGCCACCTTTTTTTTTTTTTTGAGCTCTTGCCTTGTCAACTTCAGTCTTGTCATTTATCTGTGTATAGTTTACTTGCCTTTTATACCACTGTTCATGCTCTTCCCAGGTTAGTTTGGCAGGAACTACACTGTCATCACAGCACTTGCCATGTAAAGAGGCTAAGGAGGCTAAGGACATGGTTTGAACTTGACTTGAACATTGTGCCTCAGGTTAGTCTGCCTCCTTTGTTTTCTACCTTCTTCACTCAAGGCTTGTTCTACCTTCCTTCACGACTCCACGACTCCACGAGCCACAGGCATTTCATTATTAGTGTGAGTCCTTTCATTGGAAAGGCGGATTCTAGTCCTCTGGCAATGCCAGTTCTACCAGTGTTCCTGATTCTCCAGGAGGTTTTCTTCCGATGCTCAAAGCAGCATTGATCTTTCCCATCTTGGAAGTGTTATTCTGCCCCCAATAATACAAATGATTATACTGGAAAAAGGCCCCAGTATTTGCTCTGCGTTAACCTCCCTTGGTTTGTGTGTGTGTCCCGCGCACCTTCTTCCCCAACCCGTTCATTTATAAGCACCTCGAAGGCTGAGGTTGTTCTTATGTTGTATTTGCATCTGTCACAGCCAAGGAACATAGTAATTGTGAACTGATTCATTAATGGTTAGCATGAAATTTGACCTCCCACCCTATAGAATGTTTAATGTGATTGCTACAAAAATGAAAGAGCAAATATGTAAATAATCACAAAAGTTGAATAGCTGGGTGGCATCAAATTAACACAGACGACAGCAGGAGGGAGGGGGACTGGGGGAGGTAGAAGAAGTATGGGGGGGATTAATGGTGATCCAAGGGGACTTCACCTGGGGTAGTGAACACACAGTGCAGTGTACAGATGATACATTATAGAATTGCACACCTGAAACCTATATCATTTCATCAACCACTGTCACCCCAATACATTCAATTAAAAATTAACTTCAAATAAAATTTTAATTTCGAGGAAGTATGCTGAAACTATTATAATAAAACATTTATATTTACCTATAGTTTGGATCCAGGATCTTCACTTGAAACACATACATTCCAGTGTGGTACATGGGCCACACTAAGTGATTGTAGTTAGACTTGTTAATAATCTCATATGGTTGATTCAAGTCTCCCGGCTTTCCAATAGCATAAGAAAAGCAGTGCCTATAGTTCTAAACAGGGAATAAAGAGGAAAACCCACTTAATCAAGCTGTCTAGTCTCGGAGAAAACAAATCTTCCCTAGCCTCATGGGTTACACTTCATTTCTAGCGGAGGACTTCCCCAAATAGTATGTCAGCCACGTCCAGAAACTTGAACTCAGTCTCGAGCTGGGTGTGTACAGCCAACCATGCGGTACCCACGTTCTCCCTTTCGTCCTGAAACGCCAGCATTGACTTGGAAGAGCCTGTGGAAATGTCCCTTTTCCTTCTGAGTCTTTCAGCTTTTGCTCCTGAGAACTGACCGTCTCTAGAGTTACCCCTCAGCTCTCTCAGGCAGGTCGTTCCCGCCTGTGGCATCGACAATGGGCAGCGATCAGCGCAGCCGCAAGCACTGGAATGCTGCTTCATTCCAGGCATACGCTTCGGGGACAGAGCGCCCCCGACTGCCTGGTTTAGTCAACACACAGTCGGGTTACTGTTCCGCTCACACACCCTTCATTCGGGGTAGCTTTACGCCCCGGGACATAACTGGTCTTTGCAGGTACCTGCCTTCCGTTGTCTTCAGGCTCCAGACTGAATTCTCCCTTTCAGTGGAGAGCTTTGTGTCTTCACACAGTAGAATGGAACATTTAGGGCCTGGTGTGGGCACTCCGGATCTTTCTGCATTGCAAGCCACTGTTTCAGTGGTTCTTAAATGTGGTCCCCAGAGTGGTAGGATCAGCATCACGTGGGCGCTTGTTAGAAATGCACATTTTGCCCCCTCCCATCTGTTGAATCAGAAGCCTTGCAGGTGCGGTTTCACCGAGTGCACTCCGGGTGATTCCAGTGCACGCTGAAATTTGAGACCCACTGCACGGTATCCTACTGATTGAGGCAAGTTTCACGACTGTTAATTAACAGGCGGCCCATTGTTTTGAGAAGTATGTTATTTTGGCAAAGTCTCAGAACATTTGGGTGGCCTTTGTGTGATTTTGGCAAATAGAGTATCACCTCTATCCTGGACCCCAGACCCTTCAACAAAAAGTCAGGAGGTAAGTTTCATTTTTAACTGATTCTATTACCTGTGTAATTCCTTATGATTTCTTAATAGTGGAATTAATACTCATGTAATAGGTAGGTGACCTAGACTTAATTAATTAGTTCCACAAACATTTATTGAGCCCTTACCCTGGGTTAGATCTTGGGGACAGAGCATGGGACAAAACACACAAATGTCCTCTTATGGAGCTTGCATCCTTGTTGGGGAGCCAGGTCACACATTGGATAAGTAAGTGGACCACGTAATGTGTCAGTGAGTCACAAATGCTAATGACATTGGAGAAACTAGGGAAGGAAGCTAGGGACTGTCCTAGGGAGAGGGTCATCTTTTTCTAGAGAGTTCCGGGGAAGTCTTCATTGACCAGTTGATGTTTAATAAAGTCCTGAAGGAGGATGGCTTTCCTCCTGCTTCTCGGATTCTTCCTTTTTCATCTCCTTTGACCCTCCTCATCTCCCCCACCTCCAACTAGTGGAATGACCCAAGGTTTAGTGTTCCTCCTTTTGTGTCTATATCAGGGGTTCCTAAGCCCATAGTGTGTGTATATAAAAGTTTTCTTCTTATTTGGGTCCTTTTGTCAATATGATCAAGCCTGTGGATTACCAAGGATACCTTCTTAGAGCAATGTTTAACGGGATCTAACACCAGATTTAATAATTACCATAAATTTTTTTTGGTGACGTAGGAAGCACGTTCACTAGGTAAGAATTAGGATGGGTGAAGGAGTGTTGGACACTGGGGGAGAGGAGGAAGTGCACACTAGCTATTTATGAGAGCAGAGAGGGAATGAACTAGAGAATGACAGTCCTGTTTGCTGAGCAGTATCATGGGCCCTTTTCAGTCATGGCGTTAAAACGAAACAAGTCAGCATGAGTGTGTTTTTCTTCAGTCATAGTCAGCTGCTAAGGTGGACACTTGACTCTCACCAGGGTTAGGAATTAGTCACACAACTAGGAAGGAGTGAGAGGGGGCCAAGGATCTGAGGGTGCATATTAACGGGGTGAAATAATTGTTGCCCGTGGAATTTAAGCTGGATGAAGAGGGGAAAGGTAGCCTGGGAGTGGGGTGAGGGTGGTGGGATCTACAGACTGAAGGGTATGCTGGGGTTGAAGGGCTGCTCACAGGGTTGTTAGAGAAAAGCTTCTGGAGTTATGCTGTCAGGGAGATGGGCAGTGGTGGGTGGAAGGTGAAGTGTTCAGAGTGGAACACAGAGGGTGATGCACAGCATTTGCGTGTATCTCCGTTTAGACCTGCACAGATTCTGATGTAGAAGCAAAGTAACGTCCTTATTGTAGGGTGAATGTTTTATAGGCTGAGGTGGCTTATATATCACTTTTTCTTCATGAGATACAATTTGATTCTCCAAATAACATGCATCAATCTCAATTTAATAAATTCAATTGCAAAACATTGAAAGCAGTATAGGATGGATAATTGGCATTAAGAAATGATCTTTTAGTTGTACACGAATGGAAACTCCAGGCATCCTTTAGAAAGATTCACTCTCAGTGTTTTAACATGTTTGTCAGGCATTTAATAATCTGTATACACAGATTTTCAGCAGATCAAATGATACAAAATTGTTAGTAACAGGAGCAACATAAGATCAAACAGAAACAAAGATGAAGCATTTTTGAAATCACAGTATAATCCAACAGAAAAATCAGATTTGATTTACAAAAACAAATTTAAACCCAAAGTGTTTCCATCCAGCTTTATTAATACCGCAATGCCAAACTACTTATTAGAAATAAACAATTTGCAAGGGAACATTTTTCTTACCTCAGGTCCCCAGACTTTTTCTAATGGGAGGTCCTTGTTCAGCTCCGTCATCGACCTCCACGTCTGGGCTTCATGTAAGCAACCAGTCTGTCCACAGATAAAGACAGGGTGTCAGTTTATGTGTAAGTACTGCATATATTCCAGTGCCAGTGAAAATTATGTTTTGAAAAGTGTTTAATTATTTAAATGTTTGCTGACACACAGAGAAACCATTGACTTTCACACATTGACCTGGTACAGAGAGAGCTTCTTAAACTCTTTTATTACTGCGGACTGTGTCGCACGGACAGTTCTGTTACCTGTGAATGAATGTGACAGCTTTATTTCTTCTTTTCCAACCTTTATACTTCTCATTTACTTTTATTACCTATTGTTTGTCTCCTCACAAAGGTCAGGAACGGTGTTGGCCAGAGACAGTGGAAACCAGCGCTCTGACCTCGTGTTCCTGATTTCAGATTTTCCAGTTTTCACCTTACATGCATGTTTTCTATAGCTTTTATTCATACCTATATTGTATTAGGTTCAGGCAGTTACCACCTATTTATAATTTTCTAAGATTTATTTTAAAAATGATCATATGCGGATGATAATTTTTTAAACAAATGATGTTTTATCAACTATTGAAATAGTCTTATATTTTTTCTTCTTCATTGTTAATATGCTGGATTACCTTGATTTTCAAATGATATGCCAACTCTTTGTGAATAAACAAAACTTGGTCTGGATATATGATTTTTTAAAAATACATTGATAAGTTTTATTCGCTACTATTTTGTTTCAGTGTTTTGTGTCAATGGTCATGAGTGAGACTGTCTCAAAATCCTCTTTTAGAGTTCCTCCTCGAGTCATCAAATGAGTCAGAACATGCTCCCCTTACACTGATAATCTGGATGAGGTTTTTTTTAAATTTTTTATTAAAAGATTTTATTTATTTATTTTTAGAGGGGAAGGGAAGGAGAGAGGGAGAGAAACATCAATGTGTGGTTGCCTCTCCCGCTCCCCCTTCTGGGGACCCGGCCTGCAGCCCAGGCATGTGCCCTGACTGGAAATCAAACCGTGACCCTCTGGTTCAGAGGCCCACGCTCAATCCACTGAGCTATACCAGCCAGGGCATCTGGATGGGTTTCTATGGGCCAAAGTAAAAACTGTTTACAGACTTCGACCACAAAGCCATCTGTGATTAGAGATGTCTATATTTTTCTTGGAATACAAGGAACTGTTACATTATATTTTTTAAGGCATTTGTTCATTTTACCCATTTGTCCACTGTCAAATTGATTGAGATAATAACCTCTATTATTTACGTTGTAAAATGATAGTATTCAAATTCTTTTTTTTTTTTCATTTATGAACTGGAAGAATTTTATAAAGAGGTGCTTCCTCTCATGTACTATTTGGTTACTCACTGGCATAGTTTATTTGAGGAAGGTAGGATAAACACTTGTTTCTTTCTCTTTTTTTGCCTGTTTTCAAAATAAGAAATTAGTTTCCTATCATTCTCCGAAGGTAAACTTAAAAAAATCATTATGAATGCAGAGATTTAACACATTTAATGGATTGAACCCTCGCAGTGACTATTCTAATGTAGCTCAACTTGCCCCATCTTTGGCCCATAGGAAGGTCTTCATGTTGACCTCTGATTACCATTGACATGACCCTAGCAGTCTTTGAGACGTCCTGGCTATAGGGTATGTCAAACTTCTCCAAGTTCATGCGTACACTTTCTCCTTCAGGCTTCAATCAGCCATTCATCTAAGAATTCCCAGTAACGTTTAGTGGGGAATGCTATTTCAGCACAACGATCTGGGTACTGAGGATATGTAACTGCTACTGACAAGTTATGTTTCCAGGGATCTTAATAGACAGAGTAGGAAAAATTTACCTATTTCTCTCTGTCATGCTATATAAACATTAGGTTCACATATTGTATATTCAGACCAATACCTGTTATAATGCCTCATGAGTTTATATTGAGTTCTATAGGAATTCAGAATTTTTGTCTAACTTCTTCTATCTTACATATTTATCTCTTTGCTTTTACAAAAAAAAAAAACAAAAACACTTGGTGGAGAATGGTAGTGTTAGAATGTCTCATCATTACACGTTTGCTTTATCTCACATTACACAACCTCACAGCTTCAGAGTAACAATACAGATATTACCACCACTATCATGATTACCAAAAAGTTAGATCTTTTCCTCTGCATATGCTGTTCGCATTCTCCTGCCATTTTTAGAATTTTTAGAATTCTCTCTTTTTTAGGACTCCAGTTCTTAGATCTTAGCATCACATCTCCATTATGTTTTTTCTCCATTTTATTTATTTATTTTTAGAAAGAGGGGAAGGGAAGGAGAAAGAGAGGGAGAGAAACATCAACTGTGTGGTCGCCTCCTACACACCCGCACTGAGGACCCGGCCTGTAACCCAGGCATGTGCCCCGACTGGGAATCGAACCAGCAACTCTTTGGTTCATAGGCCGGCACCCAGTCCACTGAGCCACACCAGCCAGGGCCTTTTCTCTATTTTAAATCAGTTCCTCTCTCCATGCTGTATATTTCTTTCTGACCTCTCTTCCAGTTGACTCATTCCCTTTCCAGCCATCACTCCCCAGAGCTGAGTGCCTAATTCCAGTTATTCCAATTTTATTTTATTTTTCCTCGAAGTGATCAAGCAGCTCAGATATAGGCACGGATAAGGCAGGGAGACTGATGTCTAAAGCTGCCCATAAGAGTGAGCAGGAACAACACTGGGGGAAGTGACCGAGATATTGGCAAAACCAAAACTGACTGGAGAACTGACCTATGTCAGGGTAGACAGGAAAATGAAAGAAGGCAGGTGGAAGAAGGAGGGAGGGAGAAGGCAGAGGCTTCAGTGAACGGACACTCAATTGTGCGAGAAAAAAGGAGGCAGAGGAGTAGTGGGAGTAACAGTGAGGGACCTGAAGAACTGGGGGCTGAGACCAGACTGGACTGTGTGAACTGCTTTACCAGGGCGAGCTGGATGAGCTGAGCTCACCTCTGTGTGCTCTGGCAGTAAACCCCAGCCCTCAGAGGTTTGCCCGTAAGCAGGTAATTCTCGATCACACGTAATTCAGTGCAGATCTCCCTGGGCGGCTGTTCTTATGGATGACCCTCCCCAAAGACCTGAACGAGGAGCTCTGGCTCTTTCTGTCTGGTGGCTCCTTGAAGCCCCCACCCTGGGCCCTGTGTGCCAGCACTCTCTATTCCGTCTTTCGTTGTTGCTGTCACATGACGACATGTGAAGGAAGACAGGAAGCATGGAGGTTCATGGGGTCCCCCCTAAAGTGCTTCATCCTGAAAGTGGCCCACAGGATCTGCTCCTACTGCAGGGCCAGAACCAGTCACGTGGTCCCAGTGAGATGCGGCTGGGGCCAGAAAATGCAGTCCCTCTTCTTAAAGACTTTCCCCAGCAGTAACCCTCCAGGGCAGATGGCAGAATGCAGGCGTCCTGCATTTGCAGGGCAGGAGGAGAAATCAGTAAGTTCCGAGTATATGACAGCGGCAGGTAGGGACGGGTTAGATGGCAGCTGGATGACAAATGGCAGTGTGCTGAGGGTGACAAGATAATGATCTGGAAATAATAGTGTGGGTTAGGGAGATCCTCAGTTCCACAGCTCAGCCTCGAGTGAGGGAAGAATAGGATTTGGTGGAGAAACAGGAAAATGACATTCTCTGAGGAACACTTATTGAAGAAGGATGAAGGGCATTGAACCCCAAGATACATTGGGAAGGTCTGAGAAGGTGGGGAGTGAGGGGAGTGTGGGCCCAGGTGTGGAGGGTGCAGAAGTTTAGGGATGAGAGCGGGGTGGGGTGGGGGAGTCGGGCAGAGGGGAGTAGGCCAGACGGACTTACACACCGAGTGTCGAACGAGTGGAAGAGGAGTGTGTGGTGGGATGGGTTGGTCTGGTGACACAATTAAAGGACAGTTAGTTCCTGCCGTTCTCTGGAGGGGACAGCAGGTGGGGCTCAGGCCACTCAGCTGCTTCCTGGGTGGGTAGTCCTTGGAGAACTAAGGTCTCTCTGGTGGATGAGAAAGTTACTTTGAAAGGAGCATGTTACTTCATTTTGTCTGAGCACGAGCTCTCGGGGGAACCTCAGGAATCCATTTCCAGACAGGCTCCATCCTGAAGCCCCCTCTGGGGCCAAAAGCCCCATGTGGGGGTGGCTGGGAAAGGAGTTGCGGCGGGAGTGATGAGGCCTTTGTGCTGTGGCCTGCATCGTCAAGGGGCAGAATAAGGGGGAATTGCTGTGCAGGCTGAGCTCCACCAGTCAGAGAAGCTGGAGGGAAACCAGGAGAGAGGGGGCCTGGGAAGGCAAGGTCAGCAGGTCACATGATACGAAGAAGTCCAGTGAGGAGAAGCTCAGAGAGTGTCTGTCTGATTCAGCACAAATGTGATCGATGCCCAAAGGCCAGAGGCAAGGCAGGGAGACCGGAAAAATCCAGCATCCAACACAGTGTGGAGAGCAAAATATGTATCTGTGATCGCATCAGGCTACTCTAAACAGTATTTTATTCTTTTCTGACCACTTTAAATCTGTCTTATAGGACAATGACTTCTTGTTTCATACATTACTTTTTGTAGTGCTAGGATATAGAGGTAGTATATGTTTCTTCCTACCCGCAGTGGACTGGTGTTCTCCCCCTGAGATAATCTGCGGAGCCATCTACAACAGAAGGCCCTGTCTAAGTGCACGCTAAGTCCCGCTGCGGCCTGGGGGCCGTACCTTCTTCATCGTGGTGTTGAAGCTGTAGTCGTCCCTGCCGTGTATTTCCCACACGATGAAGTTGGCTTTAACCTCTTCTACAAAACCCTCGTTGTTGTATCTGAAGGAAAAAGCCAACACAAAAAAAGAATTACTTCAGCCTCCTATAAATATCATTTATTTTTTTCTGGCCCCTTTAAACCTGTTCCACGTGACAATGGCTTCTTTTTCATAAATTAGTTTTAGTGGTCACAGGCTGTACGGGCGATATGTTTTTTTTTTTTTTTCTACCCACAGTGGACCGGTTTTATTTTCTAGAAGAATAGCGGGGTCCACCCCAGCTTTCAAGTCAGATGGGCTTAGGTTTCCATCCTGTCTTTATCACTCAACAGCTCTGTGGCCCTGGGGAAGCTATGAAACTCTTTGTGCCTCAGTGTCCCTATTTGTAAAATCGTCCCAGTGCCCGCTGTATGGGTTCCCGTCAGCTCTCAGAATAAACCTAGTACTAGTGAAGCAGGTTTGCGTGTGTGTGTGTTTTACATTGTTGGAGCCATAGCTTCTCTTTGCTTTGATACGAACCATATACTGATCATGGTTCAATAGTGGTTCAGTGGGAGAGTAGCCGAGGCCCCGCTGCCATGGCTGGTCACAGAGGGGGAGAGACAGAAATGAGTGATGAATGGGGGCCGGTCAAAGCAAGGATCTGGTGTCATTTACTCAGCAGAGACCCAGTGGGTGCCTATTCGCAGCAGAGCAGCAAACCACAGAGTGGCTACGATGAAGACAGAGAGGCTGACTGTCTCCCTGGGGGAGGCCACGGGTGATGATATGGCTGCCTCTCAGAGGATCAGGGGCATCTGGGAGAACTGAGGTGGGTGAAGAAGCAGAAGCCACCAGAAGCCCCTGGGGCAACGGGCACACACAGCCCGTGACCGTGGGAGGACTGGCGCGAGCAGCAGTGGCTAGCACACAGCCCAGCGTGGCCAGGCTGCCTGCTCCCCTGACCCCGGCACCGAAGCCCCAAGCCCCACTGGGTTTAGAGTAGTTACCCCAAACCCAGTGACTTTAAAAGACACGCGTTACTTCACATTGTTAAGATTATTTTTTTCCTGCCATCATAAGACCGCAGCCACAGTTCAGGTACTGATACAGTCATACATTTGCTAGCCAGAACTTGTGGCTGTTTTAAAAATGGTCGCATGTCTTCCTTCTCCATCAGTTATTACCCATTTTTCTAAAAATGGAACTGTCCCTTGCACTCCTTGAACGGAAATATCACTTAGGACTTTGGTCTCAGACAGACTGCCTCAGCGTCCGGTATGTTGGCCGCATCCCCTCTCTGGGTCTATTCACAAAAACTAACAGAGCCTTGACAGTGCCTTCTTGCTCGCTGTGCAGATCGCTGCTGGACTTTGCAGCTACTCTCACTGGCTCCCCAGGCCAGCTACAAATTGCCACTCTCTGCTCCTGAGAGCGGAGAAAAAACAGTTACCGTCCCATTCTCACAAATGGGGCAGAAAAATTTCAAAGGTCAGAAAGTGGTCTGGGAGAAGCTATTTCATTGCCACCCTAATTAGTTTACAGAAGTCATAAAGAGAGGAACTGGGGACTGGAGTCGTGGACGCTGACTGCTCTTGGGGCGGGAGGAGAAGCGCAGAGAAGCAAACTCTAGGGAGAGCGCTGGACCCTGCCCATGGGGTAATAATGCACCAGGGTGTGGGGATGCACACGGTTTTGTAGTTTGAGAGATTTGGGTCAGGCTCTTTAGCACAGCTCTCATTCTAGGAACTTCAGAAGGTGCAGCATGCTTGATTGCATCCTCTATAAGCCATCAGATTTCTGAATGACTAAGACTAGTGGCAAAACCCTATGTTTGCTTTAAATGAAAATGATCTTGAACTGTGAGCTGCCATCTTTAGACACTCACCAAAAGCAGTAAGCTGCAGTGCCATCTAGTGGCAGTAAGGATAAATTGCATGGCCCCTGCTCTCTGGGTTTATAACGATCTTTGTTAACATTTTATTTATTTCATTGAGATTATGGGATAAAAATACTTGCCAGGATAAGCATGGCTTCTTTTCGTTATGTTCAGTAATATAAGATGTAATATTTATTACACCTGAGGAATGTAGAAAGGCCACTAATGGGCAACTAACTTCTCTACAGATTGCAACTTCACAACCGAAGTTCCACTTTGGGGAAGGAGGGACCTCTCTGCTGAGTGCTCCGGTGCTCGGTTTCTATCCCGTGTGACCTCTAGGACACCCCATTGTTTGTGGTGCTTTAACACTTGGGGCCTCACTGGAGGGACTGCCCCTCCCAGGGTTAATTAATTTGTAGAGATAGCAAATAATTGGCCTTCCAGCATGCCTTTCACATGCTAACCAACCAACCCAGAGCCCCCAGCCCAGCCATCTCCTCCAGCTCTCCTACTCTGCGCTCTCCAACTGCCCTAACTGCTCAGGGCCAGGTATCAGACAAGTAGGGACAACCCCTAGGCCCAGAGCCTGCTCACATTTTCCAGAAGGGCCAATCCTAAGCCTGCTTTACCCTGCCTTCTCCATTCCTTCCCACGGGCAATAAAGTCAAGGCTCTTGCACCCTTTTCCCCCTCCCTCCCTCTGCCTCCGGGCAGACCCTGGTGCTTCCCCACGGGACCCTTAGACATGGCCTGTGTGTCTGCATGATGAGCCAGTAGAGAGGGCAAAGGTGATGGTGCAGCAGAAGGAGGGGACACTCTCTGGAGCGGTGCTTTCAACTAGGAAAGGGGTGGGGATGCAATTCACATGTGGAGGGATGGATCTGAGAGTCACAGGGCATCCAGCTATGGTGGTAGGAAGGCAGAGTTATTGATACAGGTGCTTGAAGACGAGTAGACGCGGTGGTGGAAATGGGTGGCGGATCTCTTCTGACCGATGTCACCTGATGGATGACACGGGGCCAGGCTGCTCTACTGAAGGGGTAGAGAAAGGCTTCCACCATTGGGGATCCATCTGGCTCCTTCCCCAGCCTCTGCTCTGACCCTTCTGCTCTCACTCTGTGCACCTTCAAAGGCTCTTCTCTCCGCTGAAAACGCTTACCCAGGGGAATTCATTGCCTTCCTCACTTCTTTCCTCCCTGGCTGGCCTTCAGCTCAGTCTTCATTACCCTTGAAGCCTCAGTGACTCAGCTAAATGCATGCTTCCTGGCAGCGTCTCCCAGAGCCCCTCTTCCTTCTGTACCTGGGCTGGGTATTTCTGTGTTTCAGTACCACCCACCCACCCGCTGCTTTCGATCGTTCCACTCAGCTTATCGCCAGCTCCTGTGTTTGTCTATTTCATCAGACTCTTGCACCCCTGAGCTCAGAAATCCTGTCGTATTCATCTCTGAATTCCCAGTGCCGAGCACGGTAATTAGTGCCCAGTAGCTGTTTAATAATGATGGATTGGAGTGGAGCGCGCACTTCCGTGGGAGAGGACGTTGGGATGTTTCCCCTGCGGGGGATGAGGCACTACATAAAACAGAGATAACTAGGCCTCGGTGAGGGCGAGGAGGGCTGGGAGGGCCCGGGAAAAGCAGTGGTGTGGTTAGATGTGTGGGAAATCAAAGCTCGACAAGAGAGCCGGCCAGCCTGGCTGCTCACAGAACCCCAACGGCGGGGGGGGGGGGGATGGCGTAAGAAGAGGGGAAGGAGCGTGGGGTCTTAGAACTGCGTGGGGCAGTGGGGGCAAGAAGGCACTGGCAGAGGCCTTTGGGATCCTCACAGGGGCAGCTCCGAGGGCAAAGGCGAACCAGAGCTCCTGGTTCATGATCCTGCACCCACCCACCCTGTGGGAGCTCAGGAGCCCAAGGGCCCGGAACGCTGAGTGCCTCGGCTCACGTGTTGATGGTTCACACCTAAGAACTTCGCTTCCAGTCATTTACCCTAATCGTACATCTGGACCAGAGTCCAAACATGGCCACCAATGGATATGCACCACGATTTTATTTGTAATAGCAAAAAAAAGAGAAATATAGGTCATTTATCTCTTCGTATATTTTAAAATGTATAGCTAGCTGTCACTTCTGTAATTATAAATCAAAAATAAAGTCAGAGAAACTAACAGATGAATACAAAATTACTAGGAAAAGCCTTCCCCAGAGCATTTTTATTATGAAATGCTGTTCATGAGAATTAAAAGTTAGAGGGAATACTTTTGAAATCTCCCCAGTCCCTTATCAGTGCACATGGTTTCTTTCCTTGCAAGCTTTCAGTGGTTCTTGGCCCACGGAAAGAAAAGTCACACGTCACCTGGGGACTTCATTCCCATCAAAGTACCTCCAGTTTGGGAAGGGTGCTGGTAGGAGATGGGGGAGAGACGTAGAGAGGGTGAAGCGAGGAGGGTCAAGGGGACTCTGCCTACACCCCCGAAAAGAGCCTTGGCCATCTGACCCACTTCGGTGTCAGCTGCCCAACTGGCGCCTCCCTCAACATGCCGGGACCATGGGTTGCCCCTTCGGTGGACCCACACTGAAAACCTGGTGTCACGTGTATGGGGAGCTTAAAAATATTGATTATTAAGTGCATGATTAATTAGCCTTTTCATCTTTTATTTTGAACCTTTCAAAGTAAGTTCGAGTTTTAGTGAGATTGTACTTACAATTCAATCAAAGGGTGAAACTTTTCTCTAAAATCAAGTCTCAATGGGCAGCCATATATTTGCCAGTTATACTGTACTCTCTGGAAAAAAAATGCTTTCGTTATTTTTGTATTAGGCTGATTGATAAAACTATAGTTTTCTTTCTTTTTTAAAAAATATTTTATTTATTTATTTTTAGAGAGGGAAGGGAGGGAGAGAGAGAGAGAAAGAGAGAAACATCAATGTGCGGTTGCTGGGGGTCATGGCCTGCAACCCAGGCATGTACCCTGACTGGGAATTGAACCTGCGACACTTTGGTTCCCAGCCTGTGCTCAATCCACTGAGCTACGCCAACCAGGGCTAAAACTATAGTTTTCTTACCAAGTTTTTAGATGGTCGATTTCTCAGATATGATCTGTAAAGAAGACATTTTTCATTACTTATCTTTTCCTCTTTTCCAACTTAAACATCAACACCATTACTACGGGTAGGGAGGTATCACAGAAGTCAAATAGATAACCATAATTACAAAATACTCCCAAACTATGTGAAAATTAAACAGCACATTTCTAAGTACCACATGGGTAAAGAATAAATCTTAAAAGAAATTTAAAACTATTTCCAACTAAATGAAAATGAAAATCCAACTTTTCAAAATATGTTACGTGCAGCAAAAGCAGTGCCTAGAGGTAAATTTATAGCAATAAATGCATATATTATAACAGATGGATGCTAATAGGAATAAATACTGGCTCTGAATTGTTGGTGCTACATGAATAAAAACTCAGTGCTTATGTTAAAGTATTTCTTACTTTTCGATAATGTAATAGAAATCACGTGGGGTACATCTTTTGGTAAATCTACAAAAATAAAACACAATGAAGTTGTAATACCATCATTTCTGACATACTTGCACAAACATTTAATCATTGAACCCAGTAATCCTCAAACTTCAGGGTGTCACAGGATCACCCCCTACTGAATTACAATCTCTGGGGTGAGTGTGCTGCCCTAGCATTTCTGTTGTTAAAAATCAGTTTCGCAAATGTTTCTGAAGACACCAGAATTTGAAATCCGCTGATTTACTTCTTATATTTGATACATGAGGAAAACTGATAGACAAATCTAACAAAATGAAGACACACTTCTGTGGATGTTTTTTCCTAAACACCGATTTCTAATTTCTACTAGAGATTCAGTTGTGCAGAGAAGGGTCTACTTAAAGGATTCGCACAATTTCTAACTTGGATTGATGCAGACATAGGCTGTTGGCGTATGTAACGACAGCAGTTTTAGTAAGTTAAATTACTCATTGGACTGTTTTTGTAGGCTGTAACTTGTAAGGAACCTTAATCACCACTGTGTTTAGATAGCTATTGGAAGTTTGGACCATCTCCCACCTCAAACCCAAATGAAACCCCAAGAGATGCTCTCCTCTACTGATAAGTCTCCCATCAGAACAGGGAATAAGAAGCACAAACAGTAGGTACAAAATAGATGTGCGGCGGGGGAGTTAAGAATAGTACAGGAAATGAAGAAGCTGAAGAACTTATAAGTATGTCCCCATGGACATGAACTAAGGAGGGAGAATGCTGAAGGGAGTGGGGGTGCAGGGTGAAGGGGGATAAAAGGGAGAAAAAGATGGGACAACTGTAATAGCATAACCAATAAAATAGACTTTAAAAAAATCCCATGTATAATGTGCACAAAGACTGGGTGTGCATTATACATGGCAAAATACAGTAATGGATCAGTACGGTAATGAAAAGAAAAAGTAGTAGAATACCTTGGACCCCACATATGTCCTTTTGTAACTATGAAACCATGGGCCCCAACAACCACAACCCAAATCCCAGATTAGGGTTGTTGTCTGGGTTCCAGAGCAATGGGTCATTGACTGAGAGGCCCTGTTCTTACTCCTGAAATCTGTGTTTTGTAAACAGGTTCTCCTGGGGATACTGCTAAGTAACCCTGCTCTCCAGACCCTCCCAGAAGTCGCTGATTCAGGCTGCTGTGCATCTCACTGAAACAGGAAGTCTGCACGCTGGGAACTGATTTGGGGAAGTTACTGCTGAGTGCAGCTATTCTCAAATGTTACTGCCCCTACTCATCTTCGGGAATTTTTTAAAAATAGAGATTCTGACTTAGCCGAAGTGGAATTCGGCATTTCTATTAAATTCCCAGGGGAGGCCTGGTCCAGAGGCCATACTCTAATGAGCAAGGGTGTATGTAGACCGTCCCAGAAAGAGAGGCTATGGGTTGTATACTTCAATTAGCCTTTGTGTTTCCCGGCAAAGGATTTTCAGAAAATGCAAATTCCTTGCTGAATGACATGAGAATGCTTGAGTATCAATCCAGCAGCTGATTATTACAATTCAATTTTCAAAAGATTATCAGCATGACAGATGAGCAGACCTTCGTTTTGGATGAGAGCAAATCATTTCACTCACAGACTCAGCCCCTCTTCTAACCACAGGAGAGGAATCACAACACATGGCTATCTGCACTGTACATTTCACCTCGGTTAAACAGACTTCTGTATGTTGACCTTGATTTTCCTACGTAGTAGAAAGAGAGCTGTGGCAAGTGGATGACACACATCCCAGCCTGCACCACTGCACACCAGAAAGAGGTCGATTCTTTTTCCCTTTCAGGAATGATCAAATGAAACACCCAACTTGGCAAAAAATTCCAACAAACTTGGTTTGGATAATTTGTCCATTCAATTTTGGATTTCATTATGAACATGTCAGGCATTAGGCTGAAGTTATCACTAAGAATTACCATCTCGTTCACCGTTGGTTTCCAAATGAAAAGAGTAAGACAGGTCAAGTGCAAAAATACTTGCCCTTTCACAGCAATGTATTTACTACGATCACAGCCAACAGCTATTGCGAACACCTAGAATGAAGTGATTTAGGTGGTGAGGTCAGTGGTTCTGAGGCACATGGTCTAAAATATTTCTGTAGCTAAAAGCAATGACATTTTATAGATCCACATTAATAACCTCTTAAATGCACTGTTTTCCTCCTTCTTCGATCACTTTTTTCCTCGTTCTTTGTTTCGTTTCTTCCTTATTGCTCATGAGGCCCAAAGGTTGGTTCTCTGCCTTCTGAGGTCAGCATCTCCGAGAACGCACCCAGTCTCACCCTTCACCTGCACCTCTCCTCTAGTCTCACCTGCACCTCTGCTGCGCCCTGACTCAGCTGGCACGCTCTTAAAGACTTATTTAGAGCGAGAGGAGAGGAGGAAGAAAGAGAGGGAAACATTGATGTGTGTGAGAGAGAGTGATCGGTCGTGTCTCATACATCCCCTACTGGGGACCTGGCCTGCAAACTGGACACGTGTCCTTACTGGGAATTGAACCAGCAACCTTTTGGTTTGCAGGGCCGGCACTCAATCCACTGAGCCACACCAGCCAGGGCTTAACTTGACTTCTTTTTAACCAGAGTCCTGGTTCTTCCTCGACTGTGATGACTACTATGTGTTTCTACCTGGCTCCAGGACACCTGACTCACTGCTGTCTACCCTGACCCCACCCCCACTCCCCAGACTTGCAGAGCTGACCTAGACACTTGCATTCTGTTGTAAACATGTCTGCTCTGTTGCATATTTCCACAAGGCAAATCTGAAAACCACCCAATACTTCCTCCCTGAAGAAGGACTTGGGGATTATGAGGGTGGGGACAGGTAACGATGACCAGCCTAGCCTGATGGGCGCACTGCTAAACCAAGACCTTTGGGCGCCACCCGAGAGGCCTGTACAACAGCAGGACCTCATGGATTTTGTTTTCCGAACCACCTGGCCTCACCTAGAGGACCTGATTTGTTCTCTCAACACCCATCCCTGCAGTCCTCGCTGTCCATCATCATTAAGTCTTTGCTCTTTCAGGCGTTTCAGGCATCATCTGGGCACTCTGTCACTGGGGCTGTTTGGTCGCTGCGTCCCGCATTCCTCCGCGCTGGCTCCTGTTTGCCCCTGGGGAAGGGGCCGCCTTTCCACCTTCGCAACTCATTACCAAGCACCCAGACTGAGTCCAGAAACACAGGAGGCCCTCGACACATTCTTTTGAAGTAAGGAAATGGTTACAGTTTTGAAGAAACCAATGCAGGATGGCAGTCTTCTCTGATAAACTGTATCCCACTTTAATGGTTTCCACTAATTTCAGTTTTCCTTTACACAGCTTTATTTATTTGAAGAAAAGGAATGACTTCACATTTTTTGTATATGTTTATGTATCTCCCTCTACTAGATGGTAAACTCACAGAAGGCAGAAATCTGAGTTTTTGTTTCCAAAGTAAACCAATGCTATCTCAGCATTGCTAAGTACTAGGGAGGTGGTATTATGTGGATGTTATATGTCTCATTTAGTTTACTTGCTGTTCATTATTTTTTTAAATTTATTTTTCAATTACAGTTGACATACAATACTATATTAGTTTCAGGTGCACAACAAAGTGATTAGACATGTATATACCTTATGACGCACTCCCCTGAATAAGCCTAGTCCCCATCTGACACCATGCATAGTTATTAGAATATTATTGACTATATTCCTTACATTGCACTTTATATCCCCAGAACTATAACCAGAAATTTGTACCTATGCCTTATTGAAGTAAGTTGTATTGAAGTAAGTTGTGGCTATTTTTATAACTGGAAATTTGTGTCTATGCATTAGATATACTTACCTTTGGGGATATTGGACATGTTTTTGCATATTCACTCGGCCTAAGCTGAATAAGCAGAAGGCCCGTCTTCTCGTCTCTAGGAGAAAGGACACATACAGGTGATTACAGACTCACAGGGGAGGTAGAAATGACCCCGCCTTTCTGCAGAGCAGCTGAAAAGTCCCACGCACCCAATGTGACCGAACCTCTTGGGAGGCATGCGAGGGGCCTGGAAGGGGTGCTGGTGACTGCGCTCGGGTTCTGCTAAAGCAGCTGTGCCTGTGGTCAGACCCGAAGGTCACTGTCATCTCATCGTATTCCATGCTCGGCCAACATAGGATTGACACAGTGGGGAATCGAAATGAGCATCCACCCGCACGCACTTCAAACCCCTGTGTGGCTGACACCCGCAGAGCCCGGAGGGGGGCGGAGGTCACTACCGCTGACCTTCCGTCAGGCTTCCTGGCGGTATCACAGGCCAGAGCCACTGTGGCAGTTCCTTCTCTAGCTTCTACACATTTTCCCTCCTGTGGATTAGCACCTTCAGAACAATCAAGAGGAAGTTATGAAAATAGTTTTTTGAACCACATTCTGCTGCATACTATGATCTCATTGGCATGGAAAGGGAGAGAAGATATAATGCCCTTCTAGCTTATGAAGGGCACGTAAGTCATTCTGTGCCCGGGCAAAACAACTCAAAAATCACAGAAGAAATTTAGAAAGCTTTATTCACAACCCCTCCTTCAACTAAGGAAAAATCTGAGAAAAAACAAATACAAACAAGCTAACCACAAACAAATGTCCTTCTACTTCCAATGTTTATTACATCGTCATATTTATTTAGTTATTTATTTAATATGTATATTTATTATGAAGTATAATAAATAAATCAGGGGACAAATAGCTCATCTTCAGTTTTAAATCACTGTGCCATATTTCATTAATTCTAAGATACATATTTTTTCTCACTTAACACCTTTGAAATTAGGAAGCATCTTACAACTATGCCAATTGTGGCTTTTTTCAGTTTGATGGCATATTTGGTTTGGTAAATTCAGAAATATAGTACAGATCTGTAAAGAACACGAAAGTAAAGATTCCACCTTTGATTCTGTACACAGTTTTTCTGATAGCACATTTTGTTTTTCTACTGTGGCTAATTTCAAAGCTTTTGGTATTTTTTTCTAAAGTATCCCATGGACTGGACAATTTGGTATGTATTCTACAGCGACAGAATTCTGAGGGAATACCCACCAAGCCAGAGCACACAAACATTCCAAACCACAGCATGACAAGGAGAAACAATGAGAAAACATGCTGGAAATTTACTGAATCAAGAAATAGCCTTCCTTTTGTTTTGCATCTTCAATTGGATGAATGAGAACCTTCAGATAGGTCATGCTTCCACTGAACCACACAGAATATATTCTACACTTTTATACCCAACCCTAATTTCACATCTATCCAGACACTGCAAGGAATGTCAAATCTAGGTATTTAAAAGGATATGGGGCCATTTAAACAAAAGGATAGTCACACATCAAAAACCTGAATAGCATATTTTACATGAGTAGGTTCTTTTAAAAGTCATACTTACTGCAAGTTGAAGTAATCATTGACTGCCTCATAATTTACATCCTGATAAAATGTTGTGGTCTGAAAAAGAATGTAAAAAGGTTTATGCAAAACAGGAACATTGAGAATGGCATAAATGGATTCTTTCAAGGCAGATTTAAATCTTCTTTATATAAGAAAAATAATATATTAAGCATTTCTTGTTTATTTTCCATTTCAGAAACTCCAACTATGTACATATTAGATTTGCGTTGTTACATTTTCCTTTTAGTTTTATGTGAAAGTTCTATTTCTACTGTTTCTCTCTCCCTTCTCATTTGAATTTTGTCATTACAATATTCTTACTTTTACTTTTCATTTATAACCTGAGCAGAGCAGACTTTTCACTTCTGTTTCCTAATAACCTTGGTTCTGGACATTTTGGTTTCTTCTCTGAGGGTTTTCAATGATTACAGATATCAGACCAACTGTAGGGAGCTCCAATAAGTGGACTTGTTTCAGAGGAAAGCCTGTAGTCGTATATTAAACATGGACTAATGAATGTGTATATTTATTTAAGTTAAAGTAAAATGTTTCACATATATCAGTTTCATTTTTTTGAATGATTTTCTGCTGTAGCCGACCTTGGTATTAACTGAACTCTGTCACTCCACCCTGTTGTAGAAGCTGGAGGATGCTGGGCCTAGAAGAGGGAGTGGGGAATGGAATATACAATACTTGGGAGGAGAGTGACATGGCATTTAAAATGCTTATGCAATCATATTGATTGGAAAAGTAGTGTACAAAACGGTGTATCCAGGATATCTATGCCAGCTGTGATAGAATGTTGGCAAAGATGGCTGCAAGAATTCCTCCCACTCATGTGTGCATGTCCTTTACAGTATATACTTTTCAAAAGATTTTACTTGTTTTTAGAGAGAGGAGAAGGGAAAGAGAAAGACAGGGAGAGAAACATCGATGTGAGAAAGAAACAGTGGTTGCTGCCTCTTGTATTCACCCCAACTCAACCAAACCCACATCCCAAGCATGTGCCCTGACTGGGAATCAAACTTGAGACCATTTGCTCTGCAGGATGATGGCCAACCGACTGAGCTACACCAATCAGAGCTACAGTATCCTTTTGCTGTTCTTCTATGAACAGACAGACTCTATTTCTGCATCCTATTAATCAGGGCTGACTTTGTGAATTCCTTTGATGAACAGAAGGAGGCCAAACCTAGGCTTCAAGAGGCCTTGTAGCTGCTGCCACTTGCGCCATCCTGGGACACTGCCCTGTGTCTGCTGTGCAGAGAAGCCAGACTGGTGTGGAGGACAGAAGCCAGGTGGAGCAGACACAAGTGCTCCAGTGGGGCCCCTTGCAGTAACAAGCCAGTGCTTATGCCAACCACTTGACCTGTGAATGAGGCCGTCCTAGACTGCCCTATCCCAGACAAGCCACCAGACAGCCACAGTTTCATGAATGAACCCAGATGAAACAAGCTCAAATGCCCAGAAACTCATGACCCCAACTGCTGATGCACAGAAGTGGTTGTTTGCAGTCATTAGGTTTTGGGGTAGTGTTACACTACAATAGGTAGTAGAAAGAACTCCACAGAAAAACGAGGTGCTAAAAAAATAAACAAAAGGAAGCAAACAATACAACTGATGATACTTCTGCAGGAATGTATTTTAACTAGCGAAGAGGCCTTAGATATTAAAAGTGAAAATCGTAGCTCAGGAATTAATGGTATATTTCTCAACATTTTCCAAACTAAACCTAGAAGGGAGATCCATTTTAAAATGATTAACATTATGCTTTTACATTTATTAAAGTGAAATGAAGAAATTAAAAAAATATTCACTTACCATGGTTTTAGTGCAGTATCCTAAGACAATTTCATACTGAACCTGTTGTTTCATTTTTAATATTTTTGGGCCATATGATTCCACAATAATATACAGACCAATATTTTCCGGGTAGACTATTTGAGCCCAAACTGTCAGGTTCTGTCCCTTGTCCAAAATGTTAAAAACAAATAAAATATTAGTAGTAAATGCCACAAAAGGGCATTTTTCTTTTGTTTTTAAAGCTATACTCTGTGCTTCCAGATTTATGGGATATTTTTGTGGGGATATTGTGCCACTTCCAGAAACATACACGAGATATCCTTGACCAGATGCATTCATGAAAATGAGCGATTTTGTTGTGCTATTTACCCATAGGTGTAGCTTTACCGCATCTTTAATATTAATCTTGAAAAAAAACATTATATTATTTTCCATTTTTACCACAATATTTCCATAATAATCTGGAAAAAAGAAAGAAAAGTTTGAGTTACTCTAAGTAACCAGAAATCCATGCTATGTTCTATAAGTGGACTCTTAACAAAAATGATTTCTTTCACATTGACTGTTTGCAGACTCGGAGAAAACCGGCACGTGCAGGCACGCACCTACACCTGGACTCAAAGCTGGACAACTCCTCTCCCCTGTTCATAGTAAAGCGGTGCTACCCCCGGCCACCCTTCTCCTTGCATTCGTTGTATCACTTACGTGCTGTATCATTTACAGAGAAAGAAGGAGCTGGAGTTAGTGCATTAAATAAAAATGAGAATGAGCACAACAGGAATGGCATTAGGAGGAAGCATTGTGTCATGGATGAAAAATGTGTCGCCCCCTCCACCCTGCACTGCCAATGCTTATGCTCAAGTCCTAAGTCCTATTGTGACTGTGTTTGGAGGTAGTCTTTAAGGAGGGAATTCAGATTAAATGAGGTCATAAGGGTGGGGCCTTGATCCTGCAGGACTGGGGTCCCTAAGAGGAGGAAATGGCACCAGATCTCTCTCTCCCTGTGCCCCCTCCTTTCTTGCATGCACACAGAGCAGGGGCCCTGTGAGGACCTGAGAAGGAGGCTGCTGTCTCCAAGCTAGCAAGCTAGGAAGAGAGTCCTCATCAAAAGCCAGCCTTAGTGACACCTTGATCTTGGACTTCCAGCCTCCAGAACCATGAGAATATACCCTGCTGTTGTTTAAGCCACCTAGTCTGTGGGGTTTTGTTCAGGCAGGTCCTAGCAGAACAATACAACTGAGATGAAGAAATGGAGGCAGGCTTGGCACCCCTTCAGGGTGACTCTGTAAACAAGAGTAAATACTCTCCCCTTAACAGAGTATTATGTTTGAGTCACAGAGGTTCACAGACAGTGAGTCTCTCAACCTCTTTGGTTCTAGAGCTGCATCTGTAAAGTGAATAGTTAGTTCATTTACCGGTTTTCTTTTCAGATACAGCATTCCCTAGGGACCACTTCTTGGGGTATCCTTTCTGTAATTTTCATAAAGGAACACTTAGGGAGGTCTGGCTGAAAAGAGGAAGGTAGATTCAGAGTTGGGGAGTTCAGAGGCTATTCTGCATCCGACATTTGGAATCTGAATAAATAGGTGACCGTTTCACAAATTACCATAAATTATATTCTGATTAAACTCCTAACTCAGAAATGTCATTTTTTTAAAGATTGGAATAGTTGAATACCATTGCCAACACACATTTCCTCTCAGACTGAAACTCCACTATTGTTATAACATTGTCACAAGGAATTCAGCAATATGACAACATTCCTGAAGTCGTTACACTGAGGGGGGGTTCATATGAAGCTGGGAATAACTTTCAGAGTGTTCTAGTGAAGCTGCCAGGGTAATGTGTCCTTAATGCTGAGCCAGCATCATGGGGATTGGACGCCAGTGCTTTCTTGGCTCTGCCACTGTGTGTGGGGTGAGGGTCAGGGTCAGGGTCAGGGTCAGGGTTAGTGTGGTGCCACCACAATTGGGGCGATAACAGTGACCAGGTGATTTTCCTCAAATAACTTAGATTTCCTTGCACAGTTAATTCTGTTTTGTTCGCTTTGGGCAATGAACCCCATCCAGGCTTACCAAATTCTTGGCCTGTTGTGCTTTGTGTGTGTTGCTGGAAATTTCACAAGGTGGAAGGGGAGAAAGATAAGGGTGATGACGTAAAATATATCTCTGCTGAATGACGAAAGTATTGCAGGATACACAGTATGATATATAAAATGTAGAACCTCACCCAGATGTATTGTTTGTGGATTTCATATAACAGTCATGGGAATGTAAAATATGGCATAAAATATGGCAAAATAGAGTCCATGAAATTGTAAGAACTATGTATGGCACCAGGACTTATTGTGATGATTGCTTTGTCAGATACAAATGTCTATCACTGTGTTCTATCCCTCAAACTACTATAACATTGTGTGTCATGTACAATGGGAAAAAGTCATTTACACTGTACTGTAGTTTATAGGCATGCAGTAGCATCATGTCTACAAATTTACATACTTTAACTCAAAAATACTTTATTGCTAAAAAATGCTACCCATCTTCTGAGCCTTCAGCAAGTTGTGGCTTTTTGCTGGAGGAGGGCTTTACTTTCAATGTTTAAAAAACAAAGTATTGTGAGGCTTATAAAGAGAGGTGCATTAAAACGCGGTATGCTTGTACTATTCCTTGAAGGCTTACCACCTGCTGAGGATTATCCTAGACGTTTTGTATACAATCCCTTATCTACTTATAACGGCAGTCTTATATTCTAGATCAGAAAACTGAGGCTTGGAAAATTTAAATGACTTGTTCATGGATTTAAATACAACTCTGTTTAACTCTACAATACCTGTTATTTTTTAAAGGTTTAAAAATTATTTTATTTACTTAGAGAGAGGGGAAGGGAGAGAGAAACATCAATGTGTGGTGGCCTCTCACATGCCGGCCCCCGCCCCCTGCTCCAAGGGTCCTGGCCTGCAACTCAGGCAAAAGCCCTGCCTGGGAATTGAACCAGTGACCCTCTGGTTTGCATGCCAGTGCTCAGTCCACTGAGCCACATCAACCAGGGCTGTAATACCTATTATAGGTTGAACTGTGTTTCCCCACAAAAAAAAAAAAAGTTGAAATTCTAACTCTCAGTACTACTTCAGAACGTGACCTTTTTTTTGGAAATAGGGTCATCACAAAAGTGATTAGTTAAGATAAGGTCATATTGGAATAGGGGACCCTGTTGCCATCATAACAAGGTGGCATGTGGAGACACAGGGAGAATGCTACGTGATGACGAAGGCAGAGTTTGGAACCACGTGGCTGCAGCCAAGGAATGCCAAGGTTTGCCAGAAGCCCCCAGAAGCTGGGAAGAGGAAGGAAAGATTCCTCTTCAGGTTTCAGAGGGAGCACGGCCCTGCCAACACCCTGAATGCAGACTTCTAGCCTCCAGAACTGGGGAGCAACACACTTCTGTTGTATTAAACCACCTGGTTGGGGACTTTGTTACAGGAGCCCTAGAAACTAATACAACACACCACCTCCTACACTAAAAATGTGTGAGCTGCTTAGTTATCATCTAAGGATGGACCAAAATGAACCTGTGAAAAAAAAACTTCAGTTTGCCATTTTTCTATGTAAGATTATAGTTAATGTTAGTAGAATCCATTTTTAGGTGGTACAAAATACACCTTTACCTATCAAAAGCATCGTATATTAGTGCACTTAAAATTGCTACATCTTCATCAAGAAAGATGTCTGTTATGAAATCTAGGATACTTTTTGCAAAATGAGAATGTCTCACCTACGAAAACATCATGAATAATACTGCCATGTGATAATCCTGATAGATTTCCAAATGTTGTTGGTGTTTGTACAACTCCATTATTAGTGAAATTGTTGTAACAATAGTAGATCCTGTGTTTGTCCCATAGTATTAATTCTGGCATTGCTGAATATAGAAAACGCAGCATTAGAAAACTGTCAGCTGGGACAGTTAACACAAAGTCTTGGAGTACCCACTGTTCTGTGTCTTCATTGTATGTCACGAGGTAAATCCTTTTAGTGACATTACATGTAGTGCAGTAATTTAATAACAAGCCAAGTTCCAAAGGGTGTCCTGTATAGCCCGCATTGTGTATAGTCAAAGTCACAGTTGGGGGTATATTTATAATTTTCCCCAGTTTTTCAGTAGTCATTATTTTGATGAATTTAAGTTCAGGATATCCAAGATAAACTTCATTTGTTGTCCAGACTATCATGATACTTCTTTTTTTATTGGTCTGTGACAAAATTGAAAATAATGAGAAAATCTTCAATTTCAGGCATAGTCTTAACAAAGTAAAGTAAAACATAGTCACTACTAAGGTTTCATTTCTAGTATAGTTCTGAAAAATACCTCAAGCATAGAAATACATGACATAGAAGTATGTCATTACATATCACCATAAAAATAAGTTATGCCAGTAACTTTATTCTTCTATATATTGTTTTATCAGTAGAAAGAATTAATCTTAATTCTCCTTCACATATTCAAAGAGCATTATCTTCTCTTATGTATTTATTTACTCTGGCCAGGAGTGCCCCTTTGACCTTGATATTTACTAAGGTCAAGCTCTAAGGACACCTCAAACATTAAGTTATTTTTGGAATTCGAGCTTCATTGGATATCAGAGAAAGAAAACAGAGAACCTAAAAGTTTAAGCAAATCGATACTACACTTTTCAGGATATAGTCCATTAGAGAAAATGGCCATTCAGAGATGGCTGTGTCTGAAATTCAGGGGGCCTAACTTCATTTAGAGAGTCAAATCCCCCCTCCTCTAGCTGTTTCTAATTCTTAGAGATTTTTGTTAAAAATGTAACTTCTATGTCCATGACCACCAAAAGAAGTCTTTTGGGCACATCTTTTTTCTCTTACTTTAATTAATTTACAAATATTTAGTGTATAATCAAATAAGATGTAGACAGATACCAAACTGGTAACCAAGGAAAGAAACTATTTGGTGTAAAAAGTATTTTTATCAAAGGAAGATTCAACTTCAAGTCTAGAGCTTATGTTGCTGGAGTAGAGTGTGAAACAATCCTCAAAGAGGAAACAGAGAAACAAATGATGAGCCCTTCACAGAAAAGGCTCACAACCATTCTCATTCTTGGCAGAGGGATGGGAAGAGGAATGTGCCGTAATAAAGGCACATGGGAATTCCAAGGAGCCCCAGCGGTGGGATGGGTTTTCACTCACCCACAAACTCTTTTCCTTAGATCTTTCCTTAGTGCTTGGGTGTAGTAAACCAAGGATCTGGGGGCAAGGCAGGGGAGCTGGGAGACCCCTGAGGCATTCAGGACCTCCTGCAGCTGTAATGGGTGCACCTCTGCAGACAGGGAGGGGCAGGCAGCAAGGAGCACAGCTGAGAGAGATACACCTGCATTCTGGGTTCTCAGGTGTCCCAGGCTGGGAGTGGGATAAGACAGCTGAGAGCAACTCCCCTCTGGGACGTGCTTGGCCTTTCCCCAAAGTGTGAAGCTGTCAGACCGACTGCTAGGCTGTAAGGCAGAGGCAGTGCTCTCCCAGTTTGGAATGCGTGTGACTCAGCCGCGAGGTGGGAGGAGACCTGTGCAGTCTTCTCAGTGCTGAGCTCTCAAACACGGTTGGAGAGAAAATGACCATGACGAAAACGCCGAAGGATCCCGTGGGAAAGATGGGCCACATGAATGCAGAGATGGGGGACCAGCGGAGACTCGTAAATGATGGGCACGAAGAAAATGGAATTGCGAGAAATAAGCAAATGTGGTGTTGGGAATAAAAACATTATTAGATAAATTTAAGAGTAAACTGGGAACAGCAGAAGAATGCAGCAGCGAACTTGAAGACAGTCACCAGCATTTATACAAACTGAAGTACAAAGAGAGAAGCTGAGTGAAACAAACATAAACAGGTGACCTGAGACCTGCGGGACAGTATTAAACGGTGTCACATATGTGTTTCGGGAACCCTAGAAGGGGAGGAACAAAGAATGGTGTGGAAGAAATATTGGAAGAGATAATGTCCGAGAACATCCCCAAATTAATGAAAGACACGATCCCAGAAATCCAAGCAGCTCAGTTGAGCCTTAACAGGATAAATATAGGCTGAGGCAAAAGTAGGTTTACAGTGGTGAGTATGTGAAATACAGAATTTATTCTTGTACTATTATTCATTAATCGCTGTGTTTTCCATGTGAACTACTGTAAACCTACTTTTGCCCCACCCTGTATACAGAAAATCACACCTAGTCACATAACAAAAGTGCTGAAAATGAAAGATAAAGAGCAAGTTCTAATAAAAGCAGCTATGGGTAAAAATAAGACACACATATATATATATGAATCACGATGTGAATAATGGCTGATTTCCTACCAGAAAATGATGGAGGCCAGCAAATAATGGAATGATATCATTATAAATTGTTCACAACAACAACAACAACGACAACAAACCACCTGCCATTCTGTAATTCTCTATCCAGTGAATGCCCTTCAAACATGAAGGCAAAAAAAAAATGAAGGCACTTTTATACAGACAGATGCTGAGAGAACTTGCCATCCAAGGACACTTCAAGACACGCTTCAGGCTGGAGAGAAACACAACCAGGAGGAACGCCCGGGGTGCCGACCGCAATGAAGCGCAACCACGAAGTGACACATAAAAGATTTATTTTGCTGCCGGCTTGTACTTCTATCTCTTTAGGAAACTGGAATTTAAAAGCAGAAATATTACCAAATTTTGGGGATTGATGGCTTACTGAGCAGTCGAATGTGGGACAAGGGTGCCAAGGGTGGGCACGCGCGGAATCGCGCAGTGGTGAGGTCCACACGTACGCTGTTGGGAAGTGTACCTAGTATTCGAAACTGGACCCCGGTCAATCAAAGAGGTTGACTGTCGAGTGAAGTGCAACCACTAACAATAGTTTGGAGTCAAAAAATTAATACAGGAGGCAACATGGAAACACAGCAAAATACACATTTTACCCAGAAGAAGATAAGAAAGGAGAAACAAAGGAAATAAGAAGAATCGGGATTAATGGAAAACGAACACCAAGCTGGTGGGCTTAAACCCAACCGTAGCAGTCGGTCCACTGCATCCATGTGGACCAATCGCTACAACTTAAAGGCAGAGACTGTCACACTGGGGAAAAAGGAGACCCCAGTTTGAAGCTCGGTTGTTGAGTGCATAGACATTTAGGATTCTTATGTCTTCTTGATGCAGCGGCTCTTTTATCATTATATAATGTCCTTCTACACCCCTGATTGTTTTCCTCGTTTGTCTGATATTAATAAAGTCACTCCTGGTTCCTTTGAATAAGGGCTTAGATGGTATCTCCTTTTCCAATATATTACTTGAAATCCAACTACATTGTATATTTCAACTAGGCTTCTTATAGAAAACACACAATTTTGTCTTTTTCAGAATGTCCAATTTGACAATCTTTGCCTTTTATGTGTCTGGATTACTGCTGCAGGACTCCACCTGTCCTCTTAGCATTTTCCTTACTTCCACAGAAGTCCAGCTCTGTGCTGCAAAGAAGGTTTAAAATTGTTATGCAGCATTTTAGATGTCCTGTAATGCTCTAGCTTAAGGATATTTTATTCACTATATTGTCAGAAATTAGAGAGTTAATTCATTTTTGAGAACAGATGGCATTTTTGTTTGAGGAAAAAAATGTTTTGGACTTTTTGCCTGAGTCCAGGTAAAACAAAACACCCCTAATATGACTGAATGATTCTGCATAATGATATACAAGATTCATTTTATTCTATGTTGCCAGAGGTGCGTAGGCCAAGCTCTCTACAACCATAAATAAAATGACTCTGCAAAATTACTGCATAGTGTAGTCTCTAATATATCACTGAATTAAAAGGCATGCTGAATACACCTAAATGTGTAAGCGTACTATACATATATGTAATATTTTACTAACCTTCGATAAATAGTTGGCCCAACACCATTTTCTTGACTCAATGCCAACAATTCCACTTTCAGGAAGGTTTTCTCTGGTTCCCAGTCTTGTGAATGCCATAGAACTTTTTACATAAAGGACACCATTTATTAAAAAATAAATTCTAGTGTAGAATACGGTCACAGCAGACACATTGTGTCTCTCGTCGTCAGTGAGGCTGTTCGGCGGCACTCTGACTCTGGTCCAAGTGCGAAATGAATCGTTGGTTTGAAAGGTCTCCATGTCAGCTACCACCACGGCACATGCTGGAACACAAGCTTCCCAGGTCGACATTAATGGTCTACCACGTGGTGAAGTGATGGGTAAAAAGCCAGGAATCTCAGGCATTGTCACGAAAGAAAAACTCAGCTGGAAAAAATAATTTGCAATAAAGCAATCTTGAAAAGACACCTGGTTTCCCTTAATCTCTTTTAGCATGTCATCCTTTTGCATTGGTAGATAGACGCTCCAGGCCCTACGAAGAGGAAAATAGAAACTGTAAGAATAAAACGGTCTCTTTCTCGTCTCTCAGCCATCTTGCAACAAGGCTGGCATTTATCACCTTTTAACCATTTTTATTTTTTTGTTAATATAAATCTGGGTAAAATAAGTCAAGTAGTATTAAAATGCTACTCATTTTCTCCTCATTCTTCACCCTTGTTTCCAAAGGAAACAATCTTGACTCATAATGCTCTTCTGCGATATGTCTTCATAATCTCAATAAATATTCTTATACTGCTCTCTTACTATAGAATTTTTATACATTATCTGTTGGCCTCTTATATGACAGATGAAGATGGATCTCATTGGATATACCTACCGATACACCTTCTTTTCCCTCAAATTAATGCCATGATGTTTACCTAAGTGTATAGTGTTTATATTGTTATTACTAACATATATATTGCTTACTACTGAGCCAGTTATTGCACTGTGATTGTAATCTTTTATAAATATATTCACTTACAATGTTTTCCCTAGAGTTAATAATTATTTATTTTAAAACTTGGTTTAGTTTTCTAACGTTTCCGATAGATAGCTGAAACGGCACTCCCTAATGTTTTCCTCGAGGTCAATGCGGAGTAACCTGGCACTTGTTTCCCGAGACTTCCTTCCCTGCTCTCCGGGCTGAGGCTGCCATGGTCTGGACCCAGGCCTTTGATCTTCCTTGTTTTGCTAAAGCACATTCTTCAGGAAGTACCTCTTTGCCAAAGGGCATGTGAATATGAATTTTTTGAGGTCCTGAAATCCAAAAATATCTTTACACACTTTCTGGAGGATCTGGCTCGGTAGTGTCTTCAGAACTTGGACGGCATGCTCCCTGGCCTCCTCGTATTTAGGTTTCCTAGTGAGAGTGACATATCGACTTTGGTCATTGAAATGGGTTGCCTTCCCAGAAGCTTTCCAGGATCTCCCTCTTTTTCCTTCGCATACTGAGCTTGGACAGAGCTGGGTCTTATCTTTCGAAGTGCATGCATGCAGAGGAATTTGCAAAAACAAGCACTGACATACATCTTAGAAGCCAGGGAAAGTTCAACAGGCCCTTTCTCCACAGGCCCATCCGGGAGACAACAGGCTGTGGGAATGCTTCCTAACTCACTCTACAAGGCCAGTATTATCCTAATACCAACATTATCCTAATACCAACACTAGATAAACGTGTTACAGGTAAAGCTCCAGACCTTTCAAATCCAACAACATTTACAAATAATTATGTACTGTGGCGAAATGGGACTTACCCCAGTTACGCACATACAATTCGACATTTAAAAATCAACTAATATAACCCTTCACATCAACAGGTTAAGGAAGAAAATGTATCTAATCATATCAATAAATGCACGAAAAGCATTTGAGAAAATCCAACACTCGTTCATGATAAATACTCTCAGCAAACGAGCAACAGAGGGGAATTTCAACCTGATAATGAAGCATCTATACAAAAAAAAAAAACACAAAACCCATAATGAGGAGAAACTAGATCCTTTCCTCCTAAGAACAAGGAACAAGGCAAAATGCCTTTTCTTACCACTCCTGTTCAACATCATATTGGACGCATACGTTGTATGTTTTAGCTATAAGCATGTTGGCTCATGCCTGGGTGTTCAATAGATTAAGGCTGTCTGAACCCCATGATGACTTAGTAGGTGACGGTAACAGACTTTACTTCTCAGGTGGGGTTTGTGATGTGTGGTTTGTATGTGTGTATGCCTGTGCACTAGCGGTGGTGACCACTGTGACATCAGCCCAGCACTGTGTCTCATTTTTATGAACCAGTGAGAAACATTTTAATGTATCGCCAAGATTTGCCACCATGCTGAAGGAGGCTCATGGGCTGAACTTTAGCTATTAATGCAAATTGTGAAACTATAACCCAGGATTCTGACTAGCATTTTCTGAGTTGCTAACTAGTTCTCACTCTCACAATTGTTTTTTTTTTTTTTTTGTATCATAAAAGAATCTATTTGGAAATTACATATGAGATATGCCATGAAATTCCACTAGGGTTTTAAAATCTCTCTCACTTTAAGTCTCTGATAGTTTTTTACTGAATTTTAAAGATGAATTTTATATCTGAAAATTAAACATTAAATACCCATTGTCCAGTTTTTCATGTGAAAAATAAACTTTTCTCTTCAGAAACGTATAGACGACTGGCTCCTGGCCCAAAGTGGTCAACTGCTTGCTAAGCATAATGGAATTCTGTAAAAAAAACAAATTACTTTTTCTTTGCATAGCCAAATTTATTTGGAAATTACATTGTTATATTGAATTTATTATTTTAGTTAAGACGTTGTTTATGGTTATAATTTACCATAATTTACCATATGGTTATAATTTACCATACATTTTCAATATGTGGGTTTGTTTTTTTCCTACCACTTGGCCTCCTTCCCATTAGAATTTTATGAATTATAATTAAGTCATAATATAGTTTCCAGCATGTTGAAAATACTATGCACAATCAGAATCTCGAATGAACGGATTTTATACCCTTCAATAAAATACCCTTAGTTATAATATGAAATACACAATGGAGCTTCTAAGACTAATCTTTTAGAATTATTTCTGTATGAACCTGTCTTCAAAGCAACATACTCTTTCAAGGCAGGTTTCAAATGGTTACTGAACGCAACCAGGGTCAGGGAGGGAGGGTCCTACCACTCATAGCCTACCAGACAAATCTCCAAAGATGGAGTTTGGTGGAAAAGAAAGGAATCTTTTCCTTCATGGCAAGTTTCTGCCTAAAATATCTGGGTAACAAAAGTAAGGGGAAAGGAAAAGTCAGAGTATGACATCAAAAATAGCTACTTAAATATTTGTCATTACAATGACTATATAGGTCCAAGAACTGAAAAGAACACACAGGAAAAAATCTGTTCCCAGTGCTGACTGTTATCCCCAAGGTCTTTGGAAATAATGGCAAGTTTCTGCCTCCAATGACCATTCCATCTAAGGCACCTAAAGAAAAATCACCCTGTCACCCTCGGCCAGTTCAGTTCAAGGTTGTGTCAGGAATCTCTTTTCCCACCCAAAAGTATCATAAAAGTAGGTGGCTTAGGGAGTCTCCGGTCACCGTGTAGGTCCAGGCATCTTTCGGTGTCTGCGACCCCAGGTACCTGCTCACCGATCCACACCAGCCACCGTTGGCAAGCCCCACCCCCAGAGGAGAAGCCAACTAACTTTTGCTGTCTGGTGTGCTCTGTTTTCAAAAGTCCTGTCCCAGAAGCACATGAGTGCCAAAACCCAGTGGGAGTGTCCAGCCTTGCAACCAATGGGGGCCCGGCTGTGTTTGCTTTTGCCCCTCTTCCCCTCACCCCCCACCCCTGCTGCATTTAGCGAGGTGGCCAGGTCTCCAGTCAGATCAAGCCCCTCCCCCATTACAAAATGATACCTGGAGGCTTTAACAAAAATTCTCTTAGTATATAGGCAGATGGGACATGCTCCCTCTCTTCGCATGAAATTTAAGGAGAAGCTGAATTGACTGAAATTATCCCTAATAAGGCATTTTTAGAATAAAGGCAATAGTTTTATTATGGGTATTATGGGAATCCCTAGAATTAAAAAATCAGATAATGAGGGTCAGTCTAGAATTCTGTAGCTCCCTTCTACCCTAATCCTCCAATAATGCTCCCGTTTAATTTCCTAGAAATAGGTCAGCCACCTACAGCGGAGCCTTTGAGATCACCACAGTGGGCGCCAGCAAGGGTGTGTGGCTGGGCCTGGGGAGCGTCTCACAGGGAGATTTAATGTGTTTGAGAGAGCAGGAATGGTGCGCAGGAAAGGCCTCCCTGAAAGATACCGATTTAATGATTTTGCAAGAGAAGTACAGGTTTGTCTGGTAAATAATGAATAATAGGTAGCTTTATTTTGTTTCTGAAAATCTTACCATTCAGAATTTTAAATACAACTACCTTTCATATAACTATAAAGGAAAAGGGTAAATGAAATGTTCTTAATGTGGCTTCGATAAGGTGGAAATAAAATATAATAAGCAAGACATAAACAAAATAACAGAAAAAAAGAGAGGCCAAGAAAATGTTAGGACAATCTTTAACTCTCACATGGCAGATGTCAGCAAATGTTTTTTCATCAAAAGGGTGATTTATAGCATTAAAGAGAATTTTATAAATATAGGAAAAATTACCACATGGAAGTTATCAAAAAATAAAAACACATGTAGTATATTTTCTTAGGACTTGCCAAAGGTATGGTGCTATTATATATTCAAGTTATATAAACAGAAGTCTATATAAATAATAACACAATATTCCATTCAGTGAATTATCATCATTAACTTAACAATCTCTTACTGGACATATAGGTAGTTTTATTTTTTTCACCATTTTTAATATTGCAGCCACAGACACCATCAGATATACAGTCTTTTCCACAGTTAGGACTATTTCTCTTTTGATTCGATTCTTGGAACTGTGATTACTAGGTCAAAAGTTATGGATACTTTAAAAATTCTTGATACATATAACCAAATGATTTCTAAAAGGATTATGGCCATTAACATTATTATTAGTTACCAATGGGAGCCATGGACCCCGTGGACCAAATGAGTCCCTGCTGTTTGTAATACAGCTCCATGGAAAGAGTTTAAAGAAATGACATGGTCACGAATAAACATGAAAGTTAAAAAGAGCAAAAAAGCAAATTATTAGGTATGCATGGATCAAATAATGTTAAAATGTGCATATTTTTATTTGAGAAGATGAGAAATAAAGTAATAGCAACACTCTAAGTATTCAATTACCATTAGTTTATTTTATTCTCTCTAAAGTTGATTGCCAAATCAAACAATTGATTGGCTGTCATTCTGATTTATCAGTCTGCTGGCTGTGAATTTGATTACTGTACATTATAATAACACTATTGAAAATCAGACAGATCTTGGTTCGTTAATACATATTAATGAGAAACTAAAACTGTTCATTTTATATTTCTCTTCAATACAGTTTATTGTAGTTGAAGACAGAAAATTCTTGAAAGAGGTAAATTTGCAACAAATAGGAAAACGTCTGTTTATTCTCCATGTTGCACCTTTAGGAAATTCATTAGTCTGTAAGTGACAGAGGGCTCAATAAGGGGCTGGACAGAGTTCTGAAAGGTGACTTCAAAGTATATGCTGAAGGCAAAGTGGGAATAGAGGGAGCATTCCTCAACATAACAAAGGCCATATATGAGAGACCTACAGCCAACATCATACTCAATGGGCAAAATTAAAATCTTTTCCACTAAGATCGGGAACAAGACAAGGCTGTCCACTTTCACCACTTCTATTCAATATAGTACTGGAAGTTTTAGCCACAGTGATCAGACAAGAAAAAGAAATAAAAAGAGCCCTGGCTGGCATAGCTCAGTGGATTGAGCACGGGCTGTGAACCAAAGTGTCGCAGGTTCAATTCCCAACCAGGGTACATGCTCAGTCATGTACCCTGGGTTGCAGGCCATGACCCCCAGCAACCACACATCGACGTTTCTCTCTCTCTCTATCTATCTCCCTCCCTTCCCTCTCTAAAAATAAATAAATAAAATCTTTGAAAAAAAAAAGAAATAAAAGGCATCCAAATCGGAAAGGAGGAAATGAAACTGTCACTGTTTGCAGGTGACATGACAGTGTACATAGAAAATCCTATAGACTCCACCAAAAAACTGTATGACATAATAAATGAATTTGGCAAAACAGCGGGATACAAAGTCAATATCCAGAAATCAAAGGCATTTCTGAACACCAACAATAAAACAGCAGAAGCAGAAATCAAGAAAAAAATCCAATTTGAAATAGCAAAAAGAAAAGCAAAATACCTAGGAATAAACCTAACCACAGAGATAAAAGACCTGTATTTAGAAAACTATATAACTCTGAGGAAAGAAATCAAGGAAGACACAAACAAATGGAAACATATACCGTGTTCATGGATTGGAAGAATTAATATAATCAAAATGTCCATACTACCCAAAGCAATTTACACATTCAATGCAATACCTATTAAAGTACCAATGGCTTATTTCACAGACATAGAACAAACACTTCAAAAATTTAGATGGAATCATAAATGACCCCGAATAGCTGCTGTAATTTTGAGAAAGAAGAGTAAAGTAGGAGGGATCACAGTACCTGACACTAAAGTGTACTACAGGGCCACTGTAATCAAAACAGCCTGGTACTGGCATAAAAACAGGCACATGGACCAATGGAACAGAACAGAGAGCCCAGAAATAAACCCAAGTCTCTATAGGCAATTGATATTTGACAAAGGAGGCAGCAACATAAAATGGAGTAAAAATAGCCTCTTCAACAAATGGTGCTGGGAGAACTGGACAGCTACGTGCAAAAAAAATGAAACTCGAGCACCAACTTACACCTTATACAAAGATAAATTCAAGGTGGATAAAAGACTTCAATATAAACCATGACACCATTAAAGTCTTAGAGGAGAACGTAGGTAGGAAAATCTCAGATATTTCACGCAGAAACTTTTTTACCGACATGTCCCCTAGAGCAAGGGACATACAGGAAAGAATAAACAAATGGGACCTCATCAAAATAAAAAGCTTCTGCACAGCTAAAGAAAACAGTATCAAAATAAAAAGAGAACCAACTGGATGGGAAAACATATTTGCCAATGATACCTCAGACAAAGGTTTAATCTCCAAAATATATAAAGAACTTACACAACTCCACTCTAAGAAGACAAGCAACCCATAAAAATGGGCAAAGGACTTGAACAGACACTTCTCCAATGGGGACATACAGAAGATCCAAAGACACATGAAACCATGTTCAATATCTCTAGCTATCAGAGAGATGCAAATTAAAACCACAATGAGATACCACTTCACACTGGTCAGAATGGCCATCATAGACAAAGCAACAAACAAGTGTTGGAGAGGTTTTGGAGAAAAGGGGACCCTAGTGCACTGTTGGTGGGACTGCAGACTGGTACAACCACTATGGAAAGCAGTATGGAACTTCCTCAGAAAACGAAAAATGGATCTGCATTTGACCTAGCAATTCCACTGCTGGGACTATATCCTAAGAACACTAAAACACCAGTACAAAAGAACCTTTGCACCCTGATGTTCGTAGCAGCACAATTTCCAATAGCTAAGTGCTGGAAGCAACCTAGATGCCCATCAGTAAATGAATGGATCCAAAAACTATGGTACATTTACACAATGGAATTCTATGCAGCAGAAAGAAAGAAGGAGCTCCTACCCTTTGCAACAGCATGGATGGAGCTGGAAAGCATTATGCTAAGCGAAATAAGCCAGGCAGTGAAAGACAAATACCATATGATCTCACCTTTAACAGGAGCCTAAACAACAAAACAAAGAAACAAGCAAAATATAACCAAAGACAATGAAATAGAGGACAGGCTGACAGTGATCACAGGGGAGAGAAGAGGGAATTTCAGGGGACAATGGGTAGGGTTTACAGGAACAAATTTAAAGGACACATGGATAAAAACTAGGGGGAGGGTGGTAATGGGAGGGAAGTGGGGAAGGTTGGATGGGTGGGCTAGAATGGGAGTAAAAGAGAGAAAACTGTACTTGAACAAGGATTAAAATAAATAAGAACTGAAAAAAAAAAACCCCAAAAATAACCCCTGAAAAAACAAAACAAATCAAAGTATATGCTGAAGGGACAGCTGTAAAGCATTTTATAAAGGTCAGACTTGTTACGAATGATGAGATTCATAGAAAATGCAACAAATACTCAGAAAACAATTCTAAAGAAAAATTTATAATTATACTGATCTAGCACAAATTCAAAATCACTTTAATGACTACACTCAACTTAATGGATAATTAAAATGTAGTTAGTTCTGGGTACCTTAAAATAAAATATTCACAATATTCACAGCCCTCACAAAAGAAATGTAGCCTATTATTTTATCGATGATAATAATGTTTCCACCTACTGGTGACGGCGATTCTGCTTCCCATACCAGCTCACTGGGGTCTGCATTTTCTGGGTCGTATACCCATATGATGAGATTCTACAAAATAAAATGTTTGCATTGCTTTAAATTTTGGACACATTTCATTTTTAGCTGTGGCAAAACATAACCACAAAAATGCTTTTACAAAATTTTGATGATCCCATTTAAAAAACAAAACAATGTGTTGTTTTTAATGAGTGGAACGACCCAAAGACACACAGGGGAAGAGCTAATAATATTCCTCTGCACGCCCGAGGGAACTGTTAGCCTTCCATAAGGATGCTCTTAGACCTTCCTCTGCATTCACCAGTAGACACAGCACCCCAGCCACTCACACACTCACATGCGTGTAACAAAAATGAAATCACACTACACAGGTTATTTGTAACTTGCTTTTATCGCTGGATACACCACAGTCATTTCATTAGGTGTAGACCTAATTCTTTTCTTTTTTATTTATTTTTTCTTGAATAGACAATTTATTCACACAATGAAAATAAATTATGTTAAAAATACAGTGAAACCTGTCTCCCCCCCACACCATACTTCAACACTCATTTCTGTTAGTTCACTACACCCCACAAATAACTACTCTTAGTAAGTTCTTGTTCATATTTCTATCAAATTAATGGGCATAACCAATAAAGATATTTTTTCTCCACAGAGAAGAGGTTGGAAAAGGGTAGACCTCATGGATCTTCCGAGATGGTGGTAGACCCCTGAGGGTCCTCATACCAGTCCTTGAAGCAACTTTTGTTGAAAAATTGGTTTGGAAAATTTGTCTTCTCATAAATACGGAATATAATCTGGAAATACTATAGTAGTCATAAAAGAAGGATATACAAAGTTAAACAAAATTTTTACCTGAATTAAAACCTCAGGGAAATTTCTGTTGGGAAAAAGAGGAACCATATTTTAATAAACAGTGTACTAAATATTAGTTTGAATATTCTATTTTCAACATACATATCTCTAAATCTTGGAATATTCTCTTTATGTTCCATTATAGATACATCATTCAATCCTAAGTGTAAGAAACAGCTACATGTGTCTATAATTAAATATAATCAGGATTCTCAAGTGTCATCACGGAAGGTTGGGGGGCTTGACTCTGCATGCTTCCTTAACAAGAGTGCAAGTTCACAGAGCGAAGACGTATGAGTAATCTATTCCCTGTCCACAGCAACAGGAAAGCTCAACAGAGACACAAGATGGTTCTCTGAAGAGACTAATAAGATAAGTGTAGAAATGCCCCTTGGAAGAAGAACAAGGCAACAGAAGGGAGACACAAATAAAAATGTTAGAAATGTCAGGACATGGACTTCCGGCAAGATGGAGGAATAGGTGGACGCACCGTACCTCCACGCACAACCAAGATTAGAACAACAACAATTCAGAGGCAGAATAACACCCAGAACTGACCGAGAATTTATCTGAATGGAAGTCGGACAGCCAAAAAGTTGAAGTAGACCTGTTCGTCCAGACCGGTAGGAGGGGCGGAGAGGAGCAGCCGGGCATGGGTCACGGCATGGGTCACAGCGAGTAGAGCAGAGAGAGTTGCGTGCATAAGGCAACCAGGAGCGCGTGAGGCGTCTGGGGCACAGAAGATCCCAGCGGGTGATCCCTGAGTACGCAAGTGGCAGCTGGCGGACCCAGTGAGGCAGCGACTGTGGAGCAGGGCAGAGCGCGCAGCCCAGGATCCCAGAGAAGGGACTGACATCCCGCGGAGAACGGAGCTACCGCCAATGTTCCCTGCCACTGCCGCCCCGCGCCCCCACATACAACGTCACAATCTAGCGACTGGGGTGCCCAGCCTTGTGAACACCTAAGGCTCCGCCCCTCACCATAACAGGAACGACCAGACCCTCCCCCACAAAAAAACAAAAAACAAAAAACAGAGAGAGACATGTCTAAAACAGAAGAACAGATTAATGCCCCAGGACTCATCATTTTAAGCGACCAGAGATAGCCAGTCTATCAGATGCACAGTTCAAAACACTGGTGATCAGGAAGCTCACAGAATTGGTTGATTTTGGGCGCAAATTACATGAAAAAAAAATGCAGGTTACCATAAAAGAAATGAAGGAAAATGCATGGAGAACCAATAGTGATGGGAAGGAAACTGGGACTCAAAACAATAGAGTGGACCAGAAGGAAGAAAAAAACAACCAAACAGGAAAGAATGGAGAAATAAGAATTCAAAACAATGAGGAGAAGCTTAGGAACCTCCAGGACATCTTTAAACGTTCCAACATCCGAATTATAAGGGTACCAGAAGGGGAAGAGGAAAAGCAACAGATTGAACACGTATTTGAACAAATAATAAAGGAGAACTACCCCACTCTGGCAAAGGAAATAGATGTCCAGGAAATCCAGGAAGCTCAGAGAGCCCCAAAGAAGGTGGACCCAAGAAGAAACACACCAAGGCACATCATAACTCCATTAGCCAAGGTAAAAATAAAGGAGAGAATCCTAGAAGCAGCAAGAGATAAGGGGACAGTAACCTACAAAGGAGTTCCCATCAGACTGTCAGGTGATTTCTCAAGAGATCTTACAGGCAAGAAGGGGCTGGAAAGAAGTATTCCAAGTCATGAAAGACAAGGACCTATATCCCAGATTACTCTATCCAGCAAAGCTTTCATTTAGAATGGAAGGGCAGAATAAAGTGCTTCTCAGATAAGGTCAAGTTAAAGGAGTTCATCATCACCAAGCCCCTATTTTATGAAATGTTAAAGGGACTTATCTAAGAAAAGAAGACACAGAAAAAACATGTATAGTAAAAGGACAGCAAACTCACAATTATTAACAACCACACCTAAAGCAAAACCAAAAGAAACTAAGCAAACAACTAGAACAGGAATGGAACCACAGAAATGGAGATCAAATGGAGGGTTAGCAACAGGGGAGTGGGAGGAGGTGAGAGGGGAAAAGGTACAGAGAATAAGTAGCATAGATTGTAGGTAGAAAATAGACAGGGGGAGTAAGAATAGTATGGGAAATGTAGTAGCTAAAGAACTCATAAGTATGACCCATGGACATGACTAAAGGGGGGGATATGGGTGGGAGAGGGTGTACAGGGTGGAGGGGAGTGAAGGGGGAAATGAGACAACTGTAATAGCATAATCAATAAAATATATTTAAAAAAATGTCAAGACACAAAGCTACCTCTATGTCAGAGATTGAACAGAGATAAGAGGACGTCACAGGCACCTTTACGACACTGAACTTTTTACTGACATCGCTAACTGAAAATGTTCAATTCCTAGAAAAAATGCTACTGATGAAAATGGAGTTTACAAGAATTAGAATTCCAAACTCACACAATAAACCATTAAGTCAATTAATAGTTAGGAAATCTTCCTGCCCCTAACCCCACCCGAAAACATCTAGATTCAGGTGGATTTCTATGTTAGTTTCCATCAAATACTGAAGGACAATGTATTTCCAATCTTACGCAAAATTTGTCAGAGGAAAGAAAAAAATGGCGGTTAACTTCCACGATGAATCTAGCTTAGTCTTGCCACCAAGAGTAGAAAAGGATGGTGTAAGGAGAGTCCAATCACAGGCCAAGCCCACTCGTGAATATTCATACACAAAACACTAAACAAATACTAACTAGCAAATCGAATCCACCAATGTATAGGAAAGATAATTCATCAACACCCAGTTGGATTATACTAGAAACACAAGGTCAGCTTAACACAGAAGTATTAGTGACTTATTCACCAGATTAATGTAGTCAAGGAGAAAAGCCATATGGACGTTTAAGTGGAAGCAGAAAAAACTTCAAATAGTTTCCAACGCCAAAATTCATAAGAAAAATTCACCGCCAACTTGGACTAAAAAGGAATCTTCCTTAACTGGGTAAAGGCTAACTTGTAACCTGTAACAAACATTATGCAAAACAGTGAAGTGACGGCAGCCTCCCTTTGGAGGTCAGAACTCCGGCAGCCGTCCATCTCGGACACACTGTGTTCCGGCCATGATGAAGGGATAAAAGGAAGAGAAGGCACACGTATTGTAAAAAAAAAATGTCCTTTCAAGTGATATGATTTGTAAAAACTCCCAGAGAATATATAAATAAGTTATTAGAATTAATAGAATTTTCCAAGGTTGCTGAATATAAACATCAATATTCAAAAGTAAACTATTATACACAACAGGAAGCTCTGGTTAGAACATGTAATTCAAAAAATTTGACTATTTCTAGTAGCAGCAAAAACATAAAGTACCTAGAAATAAATCGAATAAAAATGTCCTGGCACCTGTATGAAAAATTATAAAATTTTATTGGCAGACATGTAAAGGGAAGTGAATAAATGGAGAGTTTTATATTATTAGTGAGCAGAGAGACTCTAAATTGATTAAAATATTTAGAGAAATTATAAAAATCCTTACTAGGGTTTTTGTGGAATTTTGTGGAATTTGATAAACCAATCCCAAAAATTTCTAGGGAAGAAAAACAGGCCCAAGACGGAGCTGAGAGACTCCAGAGGAAAGATTAGAACTGGTGTTGGAGTGGACTGGGCACTGACACTACCAGTTATCAAGATTTCAACATGAAGTGATTGTAATAACCATAATGTAGAACATACTCAAGTAGACACAGACACATCAGCCGAACAGAATAGCCGGCCTGGAAAGAAATCCACGCATACATGGAAAACGGGCCTGTGACAGAGCAGGCATGGCAGGCAAGTAGATTATTCAACAAACGGGTATGAGAAATGAGCCATCTACATGTTCAAAACTGAAAAAACAAAATGTGATTCCTATCGTGAAGCATGTACAAAAACTAATTCCAGGTGGATTAAGGACTTAATTGTGGAAGAGACAACTGTGTTGAACTTTTAGAAAAAAATACAGGAGACTATTTGTTATGAACTTGCAGATAAAGAAAGATTTCTTAAGTAGGTTAAAAAAGGCATGAAATCATAAAGGAGTTCATAAATTCATCTACCATAGTAGGACCTCTGTTGTCAACAGAAATCATAAAAAGTGAAAAGCTGTATAAAGTGGGTAAAATACTTTAAAAATATATATAATAATGTCCTGGTAATTAAACAATAATGAAACTATGTTATGAAGCAAAAAATAACTAAAACATGGGTAAAATGCTCCTTTAATACAGAGGGAATGATATAAATGAAAAATTCCTCATGACTACATGGACATGTGCTCAATAGTACTCAGGGAAATGAAAAGAAGAAGCACAATGACATAATTTGACACCTACTAGATTGAAAAAATGAAAAAGTCAGATCACATTAAGTGTTCATCAGGATGCAGCACGATGGGAACTTTTGCCCACTTCCGCCGTTCATATAGAACTCGGGCAACCTTTTCTGACGAGATTGGGCGTGTTCACAGAGGTGTGGCCATGACTGGGCAACCTTTGCAAAAGTCACTTGGGCATTACCTAGCAAAGCTGAACAAGTGCTTGTCCTAACATTGGGCAACTTTTCCTTTGGTGTGTACCTCACAGGAAGTTCCACTCATGTGCATTAGATCAGTGCTTCCCAAACAATGATGGACACACAGGTGACTCCAGGATTTGTTGACATGCCCGTTATATCCAGTAGGTGTGGAATGAGGCCCAAGCATCTGCATTTCTAACAAGTTTGCAGCTGGTGCTCGTGCTGCTCGTCCTGGGACCCCACATTGAGTAGTGAGGCGCTGTGTTGCCAATAAACACACTGGCAGCAAAATGAGCCAAAAACATCACGGAGCATTCACAGTGCAAGAACTAATGATTCCCTTTGGAACATGCATGAGCCTCAAAAACATAACGTTCAGAGAAAGGAGCAAGTCATGGATGAATACTTGTTTTGATTAAATAACATTAAAAAACTGACAAAACTAAACAATTTCTTACAATCAGATATTGGTGAACTATAGAAAAAGCAAGGGGTCATTTATTATGCAATATTCAGGATGGTGGTTGACTGTTGGGGAATGAATAGGGTGTGGCCATTATGGACATAAAGCATATTCTAAGGTTCTAGTAATGTTCTCTTTGTTGACTTGCATGATGGATGCATGGGTATTAGTTTCAGTTTTATTCTAAATGGGGTGTTTACAGGTGATGGGTTGTGAACATTTTATAGCCGGTGGAACAGAAAACACTGGGCTCCCCATGAGTTCTCTCTTTTGGACTAGCCTGTCCCCCCAGGGAGGAGCTGCTTCTGTTTCTGCTTTTGTGGAGGGCACAAATCTGGATCAGGACAGGCTGCAGGCACATCTCTTTCACCAGCCCCTGGGGCTCAGGGTGTGTGGCTGAGACTGGAAACCCACGAACGTCGCTGTAAATGCTTTCTCGGTAGTCACCTCTCTGGTGGTTGCCACGGTCTCTCCTCGGAGGAAGCAGCAAGTAGCCCAGTTGACCACAGAGGCGGGTTTATTCTCCAAGTCGGCCGTACCAGGAATTTTCTCCCCCAGATTTTCCCATGTCTGTTTCTCAGCTGGTTCAAAACCCTCAGGGGGAAAGCTGGTGATTGATTGGCATCCCTGAAAACCCCAACAAGAATGGAGGCTGCTGGTTTCACGAGGAGTAGAGGAGACTCAATCCTCGCTTTCTGGTAAGACTCTGGGGAGGTGGCAGTAATTCAGAGGAATGGTTCCATGTGTACTCCCGGAGGGGCTTGTGACATCCAGTTGTCAGGACTTTCAATCCAAAACTGCACATAAGCTGCTGAGCCATCTGACCCTAAGGGACCATGTGAACCAGGACAATGAAACTGTCAGCAAAATCCATGCTTTGCTGAAGGCACCAGTATTCGGATCTGTTCTGCCTGGGTCATGTGCCAGTCCTCAACTAGGCACTGTGGCCAATGACGTGTGGGGTTATAGATTTAGTACGATATAAAAATTACAAGAAATTAACCATCTCATCACAGAGTAGGGAAGGGTTGGTTTCCTCAGAGGAAGGGATGTTAAGTAAAGAGAAATAGGTACATTATAGTTACCTGGTGAGCAGAGACCATGTGAGACAGATCTCTGTATCCTATACAGTGCTTAGGATGCTGTCTTGATGATGACACTAAAAGATATTCTGATTCATTGATGTTTTTTACTAATTGAATGATTTGATAATGCAGTTAATTATTTTTTCTTGTACCAGTTTCCCTTTCTTAGGTGTATTCATCCACTCTCATGTTACAGTGGGTTTGAAGAGCTATCCAGGACAGAGAGTTATTTTGGAATACAATGTAGCTAACAGAAATAAATGAGCCTTGTGGTCTGAAAAAGCAGAGTCAAATCCTCATGCTATCTTTTAGTGGCTGTGTATTTTTGTCAAAAATTATTTAATCTATCCAAGTTTACATTTCCACATTTATAAAATAGAGGTAGTAGTACTCAACATTTGTGTGGTTATTATGACAAACTGAGAGATAATTACACAAAGCAGAAGCAGTATATGTTCAAATAGAAGTTGCTATTGTTATTTTTATTGTTTGTTCTCCAGTGTAAGTTTGGCAGTATAGTTGAGGATATCTTGATTGGTGAATGAAAGTGTATATGGAAACTATAATGTAGATAACCCATTTGTCAATTTTGTTAATTAGAACTTAAAGCTAAATACTCTTTAAAAGCTTTAATAACCTTTATATTCAATATTGCATTACTTACATGACTTTATAGTACCACAGAAAGCAAGTATTAGATTTGTCCACAAATAAATAGCGTTCTTCTTCTAAATTCTAAAAGAAAATGCAAAATAAACTATGATATATGAAGTTAACTTTAAACCAAATTGAAATTTAGATACAGGCATCAAAGTCACAGAGGAACTCAGTTAATTATCTAAGATTAGAGGAAGTATAATGAATAAATTTCAGAATAGAACTAATAAATATTCACATAATACTAGTTCAATTCTTCACTTATGCCCTGTAATTAAGAATTTACTCTCATGGATGACAAATTTAGATGGCTTATTGTTTCTATTACATTTGACTTTGTGCAATAATGAGAAATACATACTCTTTGTCTCTGGCTCCCGAGTCTTTGACCGTGACTCCTGACACAGAGCTACTAAAAGTCCTGTAATTTTCTGAGTGTTCAGAGTGTCTGATACAGAGCTCCTGCCATTTTCCTCACTGAAACACAGTTCATTTAATTTTCACGTTTAGTGGTTTTCAATCACAGGTGACTTGCCTCGCCAGGGGTCACTTGGCAATGCTCCGAGGTATTTTCGTGTTTCAAAAGTCATATGTCCTTCCTGAAAGGTTGTAAGATCTGATGACACTACACCTAAATGACAAAGATAGTCCTGTACATGCGTGTATTTGTGTGTGCGTATCTTCTTACATCACATACTTTGTAATGTTTACGTGGGCTTCCAACATGCGACAAAGGGGAAAGAAATCCTTCACTTCCTCTGAAATTGTGTTCACGAAGCTTAAAAAGTCAAATTCAAATAGGTTTCCGTCTATAGGGGTCAAAACATGAATGAATACTCATCTGGCCTCTCCCACATCACTTCATCTACTGTTTCCTGAAGATAAAGATTGTTAATGAAAAAGAAGGCACTAGCCCCAAAGTACAGGCAGGACGGCCACACGGGGTTTCTGTGGCAGTGGCTTTACACACTTGTGTGGTAACCTCTGCTGTGGGGTATGGGGCCCGTGCTTTTTACTAGTTCATAAAGTGTCAGTGTTTTAAAAGGCTTTACTGTTTTGGTAAACTAGGGAGGACTCAACATCACTTTCATTCATTAGCACTCACATCTGCTTTCTTGAAGAAAACATAGTAGAGTGAAAAAACAGGCCTTCTGGAAACGGCTCTCAACCCTGGGTGCTGGCACAGAATGCCACGTGAGGCCCTCTCAGCTGGGAGCGCTACTATCACTGCAATGGGGCCTGGGGCTTCAATGCACTAATATAAAGACTAAGGCAAAATGCATCATTTAATAACTTCTAATTTGCAGAGGTGTATCTAAAAAATGAATGGCATTGACAGTAATTTTAAAATAGTTCTCATTGCCCTGGCTGGTGTGGCTCAGGGGATTGGGCGCCGGCCTGCGAAACAAAGACGAAAGGGTTGCTGGTTCGATTCCCAGTCAGGGCACAGGCCTGGGTTGCAGACCAGGTCCCCAGTTGGGGTGTGTGAGAGGCAGCCACTCACTGATTGATGTTCCCCTGCTTTTCTGTCTCTAAAAATGAATACATAAAGTCTATAAAAAATAAAATCAATCAAAATACTTCTTATTTACAGTTCCAACTTACACTATTTAAAACAGGTTGAAAGCACCAGAAAAGGGCAAAATAAAATGTAACACGGATGATTATTCAAGTTTAGCAAGTCTTAATAAGTTCTCATTAAAATCAACTTACTGGGCCTTTCACAATCGGTCTAATAATCTGAATACCGGGAGAAGGACAACGCAGTTCAGTTGTGGGTGAGCTGGCATTTAGAGAGAACAAGAAAGGAGATACAGGTGAAGATGCATATAAGGCTAATGAAAGTTTTCCTGCTACTCTTTAAGCCTAAAAAATGTCAATTGTATGCTAATGAGAAGAATAAAAATAGAGCAATATTTGATTTCTATCCTATTTTCAAAGTGATTTTATTTTTCTTTTCACATCTATGTCATGGGAATACATTTACACTCAACCAAAGCCTGGAGTCTGAATGTCCACACTACATGAGTGCTTGGTTACAGGTAAATACACACATGTAAACCCGCTGACATGCTGAATGCTTGGTTACATGTAAACATGATGACATTCATGACAAAAATGTTACCTTTTATTTTTCACAGAACAGGTTGCTGGCACACTCCACTCAGAAAACAATGTTCCTTCATACTCTAACTGAATCTAAAAAATAAGATAAAATAGTTCAAACAAAAAATTTACTCCCAAATTTTCATCTCATTTTTCAGAGGTAGGGTTCAGTTTTCCAGGTCCTTATTATTTAAAGAAAGACTAATTAAAATTTGATTTCTTTGAAATTATACACAGTAATATGACAAAGGAAAAGTATCTTTTCTGAAACACTTGTAGCCTCTCCTCCAAATTATAAGATTTTTATTTTATTTTATTTCAAAAATAATATATTAAGTATCTAGGAGGTGACTGGTACTCTAGTAGGTTCTGAGGATTAAAAAAAAGAAAAATGAGACATAGTCATCTTGTCTGTATCATGACAAAAGTTTTTGAACATTAAATAATAAAGCAACACTACTTATTTTTGCTACTTACATATTGAAGGACTATTATTGCAGAGGGGAATCTATTAGGAAGATAAATGAAATGTAGGATATCAACTAAAGATAAAAGAATGACACTGTGCTATACAACTGAGTATAATTAACTCTGCTCTAAGGTAAAAAAATAATACTTAAACATAGCTTAAAAAAATTAAACACTTACAGTGCTTCTGGTACTGAAAATGCGGTAGTCTGGGCTGTTAGTGTAGTATCTGTGGAGGAAAAGGTCAGATGTGACCATGAGCCCTCTGTGTTTGGCCAGAGCGTGCCCCAGCTGCCAAGGGCTTTACATTTCTGCCCAAGGATCTTCCTGTGAGGCACAGTCAGGGCTGGAACTGAGGATTATCGGTGAACCCTACCCACCACTCAAGGGGCATCAGGGCTGGCTCAGTATCTGAAGACACTAGAATGAGAAGTACAGATTTCCCTCGAGTAAAGACGGGGTTACCTCTCAACAAACCCACTGTAAGATGAAAATACTGTAATTTGAAATTGCATTAAATACACCTAACCTCCTGAAGATCATTGCTCAGCCTAACCGACCTTAAATGTGCTCAGCACACTGACAGTAGCCGACGGCTGTGGAAAATCATCTAACATAAAGCCTATTTTATAGTAAAGCATTGAATATTTCATGTAGTTTGCCATGCATATTGCTTTAACACCCCCATGAAGTCAAAAAATCATAAGTGGAACCATCGTATGTCGGGGACTGCATGTAAATACTTTTACATCTTGTTTTTGTTTTAGGATGGAAACTGTTGAAGAATATTGGCTGTATTGCCTTTCTTTACAAACAGAATTAAAATAAAATGAATAAAGATGAAAAATCCATAAAGCAGCATTGCTTGTTTGAAACACTGAAGTAGGGGACTTCCGGCAAGATGGAGGCATAGGTGGACGCAACATACCTCCACACACAACCAAGGTTAGAACAACAACAATTTAGAGGCAGAATAACACCCAGAACTGATAGAGAATTTATCTGAATGGAAGTCGGACAGCCAAGAAGTTGAAGTAGACCCGTTCCTCCAGACCAGTAGGAGGGGCGGAGACAAGCAGCCGGGTGCAGGTTGCAGCGTGGGTCACGGCACGTGGAGAGCAGAGAGCAGTGGGCACATAAGGTAACCGGGAGCTCGTGAGGCATCTGGTGTGTGCAGGATCGCAGCGGGTCGACCCTGAGTGTGTGAGCGGCAGCTGGCGGACCCGGTGAGGTGGCGATTGTGGACTGGGGCAGATCACTTAGCCCAGGATCCCAGGGAAGGAACTGTGGTCTCAGGAGAGTGGAGCTACCGCCATTGTCCCGCCCCCGCCCCCACATACAACGTCACAATCTAGCGACTGGGGTGCCCAGCCCCAGTGAATACCTAAGGCTTCGGCCCTCACCATAACAGGAACCACCAGACCAAAAAAAAAAAAAAAAAAAGAGAGAGAGAGAGAGACATGTCTCAAACAGAAAAACAGATTAATGCCCCAGGGCTCATCCTTTTGAGCGACCAAGAGATAGCCAATCTATCAGATGCACAGTTCAAAACATTGGTGATCAGGAAGCTCACAGAATTGGTTGATTTTGGGCACAAATTACATGAAAAAATGCAGGTTACCATAAAAGAGATGAAGGAAGATGCATGGAGAGCCAATAGTGATGGGAAGGAAACTGGGACTCAAAACAATAGAGTGGACCAGAAGGAAGGAAAAAACAACCAAACAGGAAAGAATGGAGAAATAAGAATTCAAAACAATGAGGAGAAGCTTAGGAACATCCAGGACATCTTTAAACGTTCCAACATCTGAATTATAGGGGTACCAGAAGGGGAAGAGGAAAAGCAACAGATTGAACACGTATTTGAACAAATAATAAAGGAGAAATTCCCCATTCTGGCAAAGGAAATAGACTTCCAGGAAATCCAGGAAGCTCAGAGAGCTCCAAAGAAGTTGGACCCAAGAAGAAACACACCAAGGCACATCATAATTACATTAGCCAAGGTAAAAATGAAGGAGAGAATCCTAGAAGCAGCAAGAGATAAGGGGACAGTAACCTACAAAGGAGTTCCCATCAGACTGTCAGCTGATTTCTCAAAAGAGACCTTACAGGCAAGGATGGAATGGAAAGAAGTATTCCAAGTCATGAAAGACAAGGACCTATATCCCAGATTACTTTATCCAGCAAAACTTTCATTTAGAATGGAAGGGCAGATAAAGTGCTTCTCAGATAAGGTCAAGTTAAAGGAGTTCATCATCACCAAGCCCCTATTTTATGAAATGTTAAAGGGACTTATCTAAGAAAAGAAGATACAGAAAAAACATGTATAGTAAAAGGACAGCAAACTCACAATTATTAACAACCACACCTAAAGCAAAACCAAAAGAAACTAAGCAAACAACTAGAACAGGAACAGAACCACAGAAATGGAGATCAAATGGAGGGTTAGCAACAGGGGAGTGGGAGGAGGTGAGAGGGGGAAAAGGTACAGAGAATAAGGAGCATAGATTGTAGGTTGAAAATAGATGGGGAGAGGGTAAGAATAGTATGGGAAATGTAGAAGCTAAAGAACTTATAAGTATGAGACATGGACATGAGTAAAGGGGGGATGTATGTGGGAGAGGGTGTACAGGGTGGAGGGGAGTGAAGGGGGGAATGGGACAACTGTAATAGCATAATCAATAAAATATATTAAAAAAAGAAACACTGAAGTAAAGAGCAAATTTCTGCGAGTCCTTGTTCATGATCAATTTCCTCTATTATTCAGGGCACTGTAATTGCCCACTGTGAGATCCATCTAAAGCAGCATTGTCCACTCTAAATATAACACAACACACTTGCAAAAGCAAGAAGAAACCGGTGAAATGGACTCTAATCATATATTTTGTTGGTGTATGCTTTCCCCTACAATGGCAGAGTTGTGGAATTAAAACAGATTGTATAGCCTGAAACACCGAAGTTACCATAGTCTGATGACCTCTGGTGTACACACAGTTTCTGAACTCCCTGAGTCCACAGGCCATCCTTAACAATATTAGCTACCAGGATTTATTTGACCCAGTGTTTGCCATGCATGTGCTGAGAGCACATTGGATTCCAGCCTCACAACCACCCCATGAGAGAGGTTTTCTAATCTTCTTTTTTTAAAAAAATATTATATGTATTTATTTTTAGACAGAGGGGAAGGGAAGGAGAAAGTGAGGGAGAGAAACATCAATGTGTGGTTGTCTCTCACACGCCCCCCACCAGGGACCTGGTCTGCAACCCTGGCATGTGCCCTGACTGGGAATCGAAACAGTGACCCTTTGGTTAGCAGGCCCGTGCTCAATCTGAGCCACACCAGCCAGGGCTCATCTTCTTATAGAGAAGAAAATGAAGGCTTACAAAGTTCCATTAGAATGCCACATTTTTGCTTTCTCACTACTTCGCTCACCTTTCCAATGGCGTCTCACTATTTGACCCCTGTGTGTGCCTAGTGAGTTGACCTGGATCCCTTGCCTCCGAAGCCTCTTGTGGTTGAACTCATTGTTGGTATTCTTACATTTTGATGTTGGAGGGCAAAAATTACTGTTATAGCAAAACCTCCATTAAATAGAATATTTGTAGAGTGGGCTTTTTCTGGTTAACCATCCGTATTTGAACCTGTGTCGAAAATCTTTCTAAAATATTTTGATCCGCTTTCCAATCCAGCAGTTACCTGACACTGAACAAAAATCTCTCAGACCTTCACGTTTTCATTCCTCAAATCAACTCACTTTGTACGGGAATCACATCTCCTTCCATTGTATAACGCACTTTCTCATAAATCATGTAACCACCAACGACCCAGCTATCCTAACGAAGGGCTTCCCCTCCCCGCCAATGTCTGGTGGCAGTTTGGGCTTCTCATCTGCCCCGCTCCTCTCTGGCAAAAACGGAGTGTAGGAGGAGGAACCGGCTTTAAGGATTCACAGGAGCTGTCAGATAACAGCGCTGCGAAGTGACCGCGATCCTGCAGCAGCCAAGCCCTGCCTGCTCCCTCCTTTTCCGCTCTCATTCATTGAAAACTTTCAGAAGGGGTTGGCGGGGCGCTGGGGCTTGTGTTCAGGGAACTGCAGGGACAGAGAGGGTGGTCTGAGCGGGCGGTGTTCTAGGGACACGGAGGCGCTGGGTGGGATCCCTGCTCGGCCCCAGGGACGACCCAGCCCGGTGCACAGCCCGCCCTCTCCCGTCCATGACTGGCGGCATCTCTACCTCCACAGCGCTGAGCCGCAGCAGCTCAGCCAAAATAACAGCACAGCCACTCTCCGGGCTGCCATGGCGGCGTCGAGACCCTCCGCTCAACGGCCGCGGCCTCGCTGGTGCGGCCTCGCGTTCCCCCAGGGGGCGCCTGTGGACCCCAACGGCGGGAGGCTCTGCGGGGCACCTCGCTGCGGGGCTGGGTGGGGCCAGTTCACCAGATTCCAGCAAGTGCGAGTGCGCCTCCCTGTCAATTCCTGGGGGCCTGGAAGTAGGATGTTGGAGTGGAAAATGAAAATCAGATTTTAAGTAAGGCAGAACCATGTTTTTTTTTGAAGTGAACTAGCAAAACCACTTTTGATAATACTAGTTGACTTAATGAAGATAAAACTTTTCGGTTAGTTTATCGTATCCCAAATCTTCCTTGTGACTGTATATAACCACCGCAAAGCAAATAACCTATGTGCTGGTGATTTACAGGCCTCAAGCGCTCCATAAACGCCTTCTAAATTGAACAGAAATGACAGTAACAGGTGCTTATTGAGCACCTACTATATGCCCAACACTATCTGCTGCACTTGGGTACAAAGAAGTAGCACAGCATTCTGGTATACACAGGGGCTTGTGATCTTGTGGTAAAGCCAAGATAAACACCAAAGTTATCAGTACTATAATTTATGTGTTTACTTGTTGGTAGACCAAATAATCTGAATCCTGAAGGACTGCAATTGTATCTTTATTTCTCCTTACATCATCAGTGCCCAGCACAATCTCAGTTTATAGTAGGTTCTCAGTGTTTTCTGACTTTATGAATCATTGAATAAAAATAATGAAATGCTCTTGGGGACCAATTGAGAACATGATTATATTTATATGATTTGGGAGACACTATGTTTTATTTATCTTTTATTTTAAAAAAGATTCTTATTTATTTATTTTTAGAGAGGGGGAAAGGAAGGAGAAAGAGAGGAAGAGAAACATCAATGTGTGGTTGCCTCTTGTGTACCCCCTACCGAGGACCTGGCCCACAATCCAGGCATGTGCCCTAGACTGGGAATGGAACCTGTGACCTTTTGATTTGCATTCCTGTGCCCAATCCACTGAACCACACCAACCAGGGCTACTTTTATTTTTTTTAAGTATGTATTTATTATTATTATTTTTGTTGTTGTTGGCATTTGGGATACACTATATTTAATGCTATTCTATGCCCACTTTTTCCCCCGAAGCAACTTCATATCAGAATTACATGCCCTAGTTCATTTGTGTTGCAGCTGGAAGAACATTAGGTCAGCAGTAGACATACTCCAGGATCCAGCTGTACCTGAAACGCTAACAGGAATGGAATACACATCCAGAAAAAGGCTGAGCTGTTGATTCAGACTGCCTAGATAGCAAGCAATTCAACCCTTACTAGAACAAGTTAGCTTTCAAATCCTGTAAAATAAGGAAAAGACAGTATTACCTACCTCATGTGCTTGCGGAAATTAGAAGAGCTAAGTGCATCATCGTGTCTGACAGCAGTAAATACACTCCTCCCCAAGCCTCTGTTAGTGAAGTCTAAAATGGGAAGGGTTAAGACTCTACTTGATCTCCAGACTTTCAGATCTTACAACCTCTATCTTATTGCCTTACTTTTGGGTTGACCCTTTTCCTTTCCTGTCTGCATCTCTGTTCTTATTCTAGTTCTTTCCTTTCCAATTCGAAACCTGTGTGTTCCGATTCCACCCCATTTGTATTATGAAATTGTACCCCTATATTTTGTACACACTCTCATCCCTTTATAAAAACAAATCATTAAGGAATAATTTGCAAATGAACGCTTTCAGAGACAGCAACTTGCACGTAGCAGACGCTAGGGCCACAGAATAGGTCCCTTAAGCCTAGAGCGTTGCATGCCGGGAGTTGTAGTCCAAAACGCCAACGCTCATCTCCGCGCCTCTCCAGTTTGAAAAGGGGAGAAGTCTGAGCGGCAGCGCGCTCAAAGCCCAGCCTCTGCCCTTCTGCTCTCCCGGTTTGTTCCGGAGTGGCGCGCCAGGTGGTGGGAGGCACGTGGCCTCGGTCTCGGGTGGCAGCGGTTGCCGCCACCAGGGACTCTGCCTCGGGGCGGTGCTGTGGCAGCAGGCCGGAGCGGGGCAGTCTTCGTTTCCCCGCCCCCGAGCGGGGCGGGGTCTGGCCGGAGGGCGGTGGCCCGGAGGGGTGGGGCGGGGGCGGGGCCGGCGCCGGCTCCTTCCTCTGCATGTGGCTGGCGGCTGCAGAGCAGTTCCGTTCGCACGCTCCTCACAGCCCGCGTCTCCTTCGGGTTCTCCTCGCGTCACTGGAGCCATGGCGTTGGCCGAGACCAAGCCGGCGGCATCCTCCCTGCCCAACGGCGACTGCGGCCGCCCCAGGGCGCGGCCCGGAGGGAACCGGGTGACCGTGGTGCTCGGGGCGCAGTGGGGCGACGAAGGCAAGGGGAAGGTGGTGGATCTGCTGGCGCAGGACGCCGACATCGTGTGCCGCTGCCAGGTGAGGCGACGGGGCGCCGACGGGAAGCGGGCCCAGAACCTGGATCCTCTGTCCAAAACAGAGTGTCACCTTGAGCTTCCCTCCTCCTGCTGGGAGCCGCGGCGATGGGGAGAAATGGCGGGAGGTCAGGGACCCCGACCCAGGGTCTCAGCGTGCGCGGGTGGGGTGGCCCCGGAGGAAGATGCGGCTGACCGAGAGCCTTCGAGAGATGCTTGGTGCCCGGGAGGAGCAGTTTTTGGTCTGGGGACTGCGGCTCAGCCCCAGTCCTGGGGCGGGCGCGGGGATGGACACGGTCGGAGTTGGAGGAGCGACTGCCGAGGCCTGCTCCTGGCTGCGGGTGGAGACCGAGCGGGCGGCACCCCCTCCCCATCCCTCGCCGGCCGGATCGAGCGGGAGCGGTGGTTCGAGGCGCCCGGCCATCCAGGCTCGCCGTCTCCCCCACCTGCAGGCCCGGAGGTGGCCGATCTTAGCTTCCTCGTGCCCAGTTTGTAGACTCGAGAACCCAGCCCTGGGCTTGGGCTGTCTAATGGCCCCGTTGTTTTACTCCGTACCCTGCGTGTGAACATTGAGGGGAGATTATTTTTACTGGTCGGCCCCAGGGGACGGAATCCCGCTTCTTCTGCCAGCGAGGCAAGGAAATACTGCATGGATGTCAGATCTGTTATTTAGAAATGTTTGCATTGCTACGCTCGCACAGAAAGTGAACTTTCGGGAAATAGAATGGCAATGTACTTCCTACCGAGAGACACGTGGTTTCAGCGTAAGCTTTCTTCCTATTTGTCCTTGGCTTTGGTGCAGCCTAGAGGCCCGGCCTTTGTACAGGCTCTTGGGTAACTGTTACCAGTTTCAGAAGGAGAAGTAGTGGAGCAATAACCAGTAATTGTAAGGTAACATTTGAAGTTAGCCGCTGACTGTTTAGTTTGCAAACATTTCTTCAGGAACAAACGTAACACAGTAGGAGGATGCTGTGCCGTGTGTGTTCAAACAAGTTGGGAGGCCCGCTTGGTGGGAAGCTTTCTACCTAAAATTGAATAAATACCATTCGAGCATGCAGAAACGAGGTAGTAAAAAGCTAAATACAGATATTCGGACTTACCTTCTTGTTTCTTTTTTGCATCCAGAAATCCACCCTCCCGGTTCCTCAGCTAAGATAGCAGTTGCCCAAAATGGCTCTTGGTGTTACTCCCAAGCACCTCTGCCTCCACTGCAGTCTCCTGTCCCTCCACCCCTGCAGCAACTCGCCTCCCTTCCTTAATAACCCTCCCAAAGGTGTTGGCATTGAACTGTGGCCCCTCTCTGCTTGAGAGCAGCTCCAGGAGCCGGCCTTCACCTTCCTATTGCCTTCACACTAGGTCAGGCTGTGTGTGCTGTGGGGGAAGAAGTCTGCAGACGCCTAACTCTTGCTGGTTGGAAGGGGAGAGAGCTGGCCGGCCTGTCTCCTTCCCGCTCACTCCTGACCCTCTTCCTTTTAACTGGAAACAATAGAACTCAGGTTGAGCTACACTGTGGCTCGTAAGAAGGTTTTGGGAATGGTATCATTATAACATTTATTACTATCCCTTTAAAAAATAGTGGAACTAGTAGATTGGAGATACTGCTATGTCGCTGTGAAAGTAGTCTTGAAGGAGGTCATGGACCAATCTACTCTGATGCCCTTGGGAAGTCTAGAGAGAAGTCACTGAGAAGGAGCCAAGTTGGGCTCTAAAATGTGACCTGAAGATAGAGGAGAAACATATGAACAGACCTGTTAGGCAGGCTTTCCTCCCTTGTAAACTTTGGACTTAACACCTTCCTTCTATGATTCTAAAAATCTTTATTTTCCTTCAGTGCCTTTAAAAGAGCTCATATTTTGAGCTTAAATTGCCCCGTTTGATGATTCAAGTTTTATGTATCATTGAAAATATGTACTGTTTTAGAATTTAGTATTTCTGTCATATTCATCCGATGGACTCAAATTTTACGTGGATTTTTTCTCTAGAAGTGGTATGTATATCATGTTTCAACACTGTGGGAAGGTGCCCTCTTGAAGCATGTAGTCAAGGGGACCGCCACTATGGAAATAGGTATGGCCAGGGTGGGGATGGAGAAGGCTGACCGGACAGGTTTTTCCAAAGATTAAAGTAAGAGAATAGGAAGGCCTCTTTCTGGTGGCACAAAAGTAGTTTTGTCAGGAAGCCTCTTACTGTTTTCCTCTCTAAGTCCTCTCAAAGTAAACTATCATACTTCATTTCCTTCCTTTTGTTGAGTAGAAATTACAGAGGTTTGTAACTATTGCAGTTTACACTAGGCCTTAAGCAAGGGCTTGTTTATTGTTCTTGGAGAAAGCAAGCCTGGTAGTCTTGGTTACAATACAGACGTGGAGTTGCCTGTGATCAGGAATGGCTAGAACAGTGTTCCCCTTCTTTGCATTCCACCTTCTTCCCAACCCCAGGGTTTTAAAGTTAATATAAAGAGAAAACATTAAGTAAATTTAATTATAAAGGGAAAGTGTATCCTGTCACTTGGTATATATAAAAGCTTGCCATAAAAGTAAACTCAATGGAAAAAATGTTAATTTGTAGCTAGAGGCTAGGATCGGCAGAAGGCGCTGAAACCAGCTATTAATAGGTGATAAAGAATTGTAAAAGACACACCAGCTGCAAACAGACTTTCTCCTGGAACTAATTGGAAATATTAAGAAAGAGAGTTATTTAATCCCTTGATGTTATACAGCTAAAATGATTATTTCCCAAATCATTTACCATTATTTGGGAGATGGTAGAGAATTCGAATTTAAAGTAAACCATCCTTCAGGTTTATAATAACTGCTAATTCTGTGTCTGCTGACTGTCAGGGTTGCTTTTCATACACCTAGTTTATAGTATGTCCCAACTACACACGTGTATACTAGTATTTTTTTAAAGACTTGGTTAAAACTTGCTTTCTTGGATTGCTGTGCTTTCCCTACTAGTAACGAGTTTTCTCAAGGAGAGGATTTGTTTCTTTTTTGTTTTCTTCCATAGCACCTAGTACTATGTGAGGCAGAGAGGAAGTAAATACTCAACATTTATTGGGTGATTGCGTCACCCCAGGAGATTTCTTTGAAATCACTAGTTTAACTCTGTCTTGTAAATTAGTTTAACACCTCCTGGACAATTTCATTGACTGTTAGAATGAGTTTAAGGTGGAATCCCCCACATTTCTTGGATTAATTTAGTATTTGCATGAATATTTTTTTTACATTGTACCATTATGTTCAAAGGCTCTAATAGTTATATTAAAGTCTTATTTCTTGCATCTATGAGGAAATAGATAACTGATCACTTGTTTTTGTGGTCTATTTCCTCAGTATGTATCAGTTGAATACCATACAATTATAGTAAATAGTTTTTCTCTGCTGAACACAGACAGTAGATCTTTAAGTCTGGTCAATATGCATGTCCCAAGGTGTCCGCTATTGAAGCCTACTGTAATATACCTTCATCTGTACTTTTAAGGCATACCATTTTAAATTATACGGGATCATCTCAGTGGTATGTGACCAATATTATTTGTTTTTTAAATGTTGGTGGGAATGGGTGGGTTACTTGGATAGTTGCAAGTATCTGTAGGAAAAACGGTTGTGTAGAACAAATCTAGAATGAACTGGTAAACTTAATAGCTTACTGAATGTAACTGGATACAAATGTAGTTGTATTACCCTTTGGGGACTATGTCAGATTTTGACACCAAATATTAGTGTGGGTGAGCTGCGTACTAGTAAGTGAAGATTGGTGGTTGTTAGAATGCTTTTACCAGTGGGAAATCCACTATTGCCTAGTGAAGGCAATTGAAAAGAACATTAAGTAAATAGAGGGCGCTACCCATGGCTCTTCGGGCTCCCAGATGGGCTGCTTCCTTACACTGAATGAACTTTTAATCATATTTAATTCAGTGTAATATAATTCCTGCTTAAAAAACAGGAGCTCTCATGAAATTTTTAATAACAGGGTTTTTGTCTGTATCAGACATTTTATTTGTGAGAAAAAACTTCTTTTGACTTGACATCTGCCATTCAATTTCAGTGCATTTTAAAGAAAACATTCATAAAGGTAATGATTAGGTGAGCTTTTATGAAGCATTTACATAGAGTTGCTTGGCACCTTTGGTTTATACATTTTTTTGCTTGCATGTCTGATCCTCCCACCCGTGACCCTGGTCATCTTTGATCCTTGTTCAGTGGGTGTTAATTGATAAAAAAAAAATTGGAACCTAGAGTCTAAAGCTACTTAAGTAGGAATGTAAGATCCTCCAAGGCAATGGCCCTTCCCAACTTCCACTGTGAGTTGTTTCATGATGGTAATTCAAGGTATAAAAAAACATGGGCACCTTTCATCACTTGTGTGGCACTCATCTGTGTGTGAAACTGTAAGGGGAAGGGGGCTGCCTTAAGCCTTTAAAAGATAACTGAGCAATACACTTGAAGGTCTCTGCTAAAAAAGCAATTCAGATACCCTGTATATGTTTTCCTATCTGGTGTGTCTGGTTACTGTTGAATAGTTTAATTTGATCAACTTACTGGTAGTAACTTAATCTGCTCTGCTTTAAAATAATAAACTAATTGCAATTATCTGAATGCCCCCCCCACAAAAGAGAAGCCATCCTTGTTTATAATTATGTTATTGACATGGACTGACAAGTGTTTTAGTTTTTGGCAACAGTGAAATGTTGCATCTGGACAGAAAGACACAGTCTTACAGTTTCTACCAAGAAAGCAGCCCAGGTAATGAGCATTGACTCAAAAGGTTGTTAGGTTCCTAAGAAGCTGGAAGAGTATAGATAAGAAATAGGAGCCTTTTTTGTTGTTGCTGGGATAGGTCACAGGCATTGGGTGTGAGGCATTGCTGCTCTCTGCTATAATCCACACAGACTAGAGCAAGAACAGACTTTTTTCCTGTGGCAAATATTGAATATATTTTTATTGCCCTATTGGAATATATGTGTGTGTGTGTATATATATATATTTCAATTTTATTTTGTAT